GTTTGACGTTGACAGTACAGCCGTGTGTAGGGGAAGATTGATGCGTGAGAAATGCAATCAGCGTACATCAATGGTCATTCGGAGCCACAATGATCAATAGCAGGTAATGTGATGTGGTGGACTCGCACACGGGCGGCCGAGTCTTAATGAGGAAAACGTCATAACATTTCAGTTGGCTTGGTTATGGTAGCACTGAATGATCCAGTCTAGAGCAGAGGTAATATTAACGCAACCTGTTCTCAAAAACAAGTGATAAAGTCATATCTGTGTCTTGTGTATTCAATTCAATGTATATTCTTGTATAGCCCGAAATCACAACAGTAGTTATCTAAAAACTGTTGAATTCGCCAACACAGATCAGAGAATCAACAGTTCAACACAAGAAATGCAATAATAAACACGCATTGAGCTATGAATGCATTGTGCTCTACAAATAAACTTGTGCTGCCATTTTTGTATTCCTTTTGTGGAATATTTTTTATCAGACTGTATAGTTTCATCTTGTGATAAATCTGTTCAAATTCAAATATAGGAAAACATTTAGTTTGTAATTTCAGTAAATAGATGTCCTCGTCCAGATCCAGTCCTGGTTTAATCCCAATTTTATAGTTATATTCATTGAAACCCGTATCTATTCCCAATTGGCAACTCATTTGAAGCTACGCAGCTGCTCTCCCACATCAATACAAACAGATGTAAGTGCCAAAAACACTCTGGGCCAAAAATATATCTGAATATATTCAAATTTATGTTGTGTGTTTAGTGTCTAGCGATGGATATTTACTTATTGAATGACCTGTATCTGTCAATGGTTTTGTTGAGAACAGCTTGGTTAATAGAATATGCATAAAACACAAACACAAACACACACGATAATAACAGATCATAAATCCAAGCTTTGGAGTAATGCAAGATCTGACGAACTGTTTAGCTTTGTTCTGTGAAAACCTGAGTCTGTTCACCAACAACGGTTCAAAGTACAGAGGAAAATATAGAGGTATAGTTCTCAACATGGCCCATATAATCCAGCAGCACTGAAGGCCATAAAAACTGTACAGAAAAATTGCACTCGATAAAGTTGAGCATTTATTTCCACCTGTTTACAACCGTATCGATGGCGAAGAACCCTGAAGGAAACGTACTTGTAAAATGTTGGCGGCCGATAGACATATAACATAGATTGAAGTGTGTCCCTGAGCACTTCCTGTCCGGAGAGTCGGCTGACTGACAGAAGAAAGCAAACCAAGGCTGCTGACACAGTGTTGTGCAAGAATATTAGACAAGTGGAATAACAAGAGATGCCCAGAGATGCATGGGTTTCAGACTGAGTAACTAGCTACTTCAGAGTAACTCGCATTTCAATCTATTCTACAACAAGTGAGTGAGTCAATAAAGCTGGGGTAACTAACTTTCAAACATTCATTATGTAGTAAAAGTGTAGTTTAGTATTATGCATATTTATGGCCTCTGTCACAAAACAAATTGGAAAAAGACAGGACTTACCTCATGCAGCCAATCAAAACTAAGCCCAAAAGGTCAATTAGTGACTCACAAGGCTCTTTCTTGCCTGTATATATTATATTAATTTGTTTTCTATTACAATGAATACAGCAAGTGTGATTTTGTTCACAACATTTTACTTTTCCAAGACTCTGTTGGGACAAACCAAACAAGACTTTTCTCAGATCGCACACAATTTTGTTGCTGTGGGTCTAATCTAAATGTATTGTATGTATAATTTTTACTCAATAATGATTCAATATTTAATAAAGTTTTTATAGTTATCCTTGTGTCTTAGGTGACATTTAGATTGTTGTGTCAATTTTGGGAGTTTTTATGTACACATGTTTGTCTTACGGGTAAATTGGAGCACCTGGAGTAAACCTACGTAGACACAGGAAGAACATGCAAACTCCACATGTCGTACCAGGGGCTAAGGATTGGAACACATGACCTTCTTGCTGAGAAGCGAGAGTGCTTATCAGTCTTAAATTAGCCTCTAAATTCGATATTGTTTTTTTTGCTATATTCACTAGTCATTTCTCGTGTGCTAGATTTGCACAATTCTCTTAGGCCGCATTTACACGAGTTGCTCTTGTTCACTGTAACTAGATCAATTTTGGTTCACTTGGGGGGAAAGAATGCTTTATTTGTGGATGTAAAACCACCAAACACTGCACATGTCATTGAAGTCAGTTGAAACAGATCTGTGGAACGTTTTTCCCTAGTGAACCAGACTGGATCCAGTTAAAGTGAACCAGAACCACAGTCTGAACGCGCCCTAAATCTTTACTTTCACATCTTGAATCCCTTGCGACCCACTCACATCACACATCTTTTGCTACACACCTGTAAAACTTGTGCACAACACTGTGACAGGAAAAGGCCTTGTTCTCAGCCAGCGGAGTCGGCTGGAGCAGTAATGAGACAAAAGAGTTAGAGCAGCTGTCAGTCAGTTTGACCCTGTCTTTAAATCACACGTCTTTCTAATGTATACAGCAATAGGAACAAGGCGCCTGTCAAAGCACTGGTAAACACACTATCATTGCAGCCCCAGTGAATCAACTTCAACTGTATGGCACTAAAAAATGTCACATCTAACTGAGTGGTTGTGGGCAATTTCCTATAGCGGAGATGAACCCTTAATTATACTGAGGAAGTGGAAGTTAATCCAGGAAGTAAATATAAACATAGATATATCACTTTTTCCCCTGTAATACACTGGTGTCAGCTGAGCCAACTGTAACTCCAGCAATAATTCATAAATATATATATATACCGGCAACATTTGTTCTGAAATATTGTCAAATACCATTGTTTTTTACGCAAATGCATCGTGGAATTAACACCATAAACAGGAAAAGGGTGCAGCAGGAACATTTCAGACACGTATCATCAAATGCAAGGGGATCACATAATGAGTGAGAGACGCACAACATGAAGGATAATTACAATATGTGCAGCAGGGGACATGTACCACTCCACACACAGAGATAAACTATGGCAAGTTTTGTAAAGGAAAATGATGTGATTCTGTTGTGATGTATAATAATATTTACAGTGTGGTGTTTGTTTTGGCACTGCGATGTTAGGAACTATTTCATGCTGAGTGAGAGTTATGTTTGGACCATTCCGTTTTCTGTCTCTGAAGTGTTGGAGGAGTAAGTGTCCCCCGCTGACGCCAAGATCTTCCCATTGAGTCCATTCACATGGACATCTGTCACATGAGCAGAGATGGAGGTATGAACAGCAGGAGGAGTTAGTGCAGAAAAGGTCCTGAAAGTCTCTGTTTTGAGTCTGAGTAAAAAGATAGCGTCATAGAAATATCTGAGTGTATTCTGTTGATAATTCTGTGTCCTTCATAGACCTGAGGTCAAAGGCAGGATTTGAGGTAGAGTCGAGGTAGTTACCCATAATGTATCTGCAAACTGCTGTAAGAGTGAAACCAGTGTCTCGTCCAGTTTCATGATCAGAGAAGCACTTGTAGTGGTCAGTGAGAGGAGGCTCAGAGCGGACACAGAGGGCCACACCTTTATAAAAGGAGAAAGAGAAATGAGGCCAAAGCTAAATCACTGCAGTGCCAAATCACAGGTGAAAATTACACCGCAGCCAATTTAATTTAGGGATCAGCTCATATTTTTGGAAATAGTTTAGAATCATTTTAAAAAATAAAGTTTTTTTATCTCTCATTAGACAAATATGAATAGAATAGTCACTTGGAATAGTTTGGTAAAATTTGTGCTTAGTTTGTTTTTACTGACATACAGTGTATGTATGAGAACATTCAGGCAAGCACACCCATGGGCACGCACACACACACACACACACACACACACGCACTAACACACACACACACACACACACACACATATACATACACTGTATGATGCTGGGACATGATTTCATCTGTCCACTTGAAGACTATGGGGCACATTTCACTGAGCAGTCAATAGCCCTGACAATAGAAAGAGTGATGCAGTGGATTCTCTCGTCACAAAGACTCAAAGAGCATGCTATGTTGTTCAACTGTAGAAAGTAGGAAAAGGTGTCAAATGGAACAGGATCATTAATATTCAACAAATTCCTAGCACACTATAATTCATACAACAGTGTTATCTGTCGACTTGCATGAGGTACAGACATTGTATCTACAAACACCACATCATCACCGGCGCGTTCACAAAAGGTGAAGAGGGTTTTTCATAATGCAATAAACAGACAAACGACAACAACAGCGACAATATTAACATTGTTATCTGAGGTAGGACATTAAATTCAGCATTTGGAAGTGCTTTATGTTGGACACTCATTTTGCTTCTACGAGCAGGAGAAGAGAGACAGTTTTTGACATCTGAGGTAGAACGGCACCTGGTCTTGTAACGTTTCAAAGTCCGAACCGAACTATTCCTCTGTAGTTTAGAATAATCGTAAGCACAAGGGAAGCTACGCTCCCCACAAGCTTCCCACAAACACATTCATTCCGGCTGAGGTAGGTTTTTGTTGAGGTTCACACAGCCAAGTCTATTCCCTGTATGAAGGCCGAGAACTCATAGAAAATGTTGATATTTTGTTGGAGAAATGAAGTCCTGAGAAGAGAGTTATTTGAATCCCTGGTCTCTGAGCACGGAGGTGTCATCATTGGTAGGTGTGAGCAGACAGCAGGAGTCTTTGACATCCACACAAGAAGACCAATAACTTATTACATAAAGTTGATAAAGATATACTGTAAATATATTTCATAAACTTAAAAAAACTTAAGTCGTTGTATAAACAAGGACATTCGGGGGCATCTATTCTGTGTCCTGCCCGACAGAATAAAATTAACCAAATAAAAATAAGGCCAGCTACAAACACCAGGTCAAATGTCCCTTCATTACACAGTCCTTGATCTGTCTTGATCCTTGCATAAAAGAAAAAAAATCTTGAAAATAAAACGTGTCAACCTGAGTGAGCGTCTAAAGCGGCGCCGGTTTGTGAGTGAGTGCGGCCTTCATACACGGTCAGCCCTGGTCCTGCCGCTCCGCCGGGGCAGCAGGGGGCTGGTGGAACAGGGTCTCTGCTTCTCGCTCCACGCAGAACTCGTCCAAAAGGATTGTGGAGAGCTGAGTGTCGTTAGGACCAGAGGGGGCTGTGCGGTTCAACTGCAGGCACAGGACAATTGTCTGTTAGCATTCAAGTTCTACACATTTAAAAGCATCTGAAGGACTCTAATTAACAATTATTTTGGTGTTGGATGAAACAAATTCTTATAAATGTTCAATGCCCTTAATCGCTCAACTAGGTCAGTGAATATGGGAGAGGTTGTAGTGATGCCTCTGGAGAACAACTTCATAAAGATGACTAGGGACTGAGTTGTTTGATTAAAAATACTTTCTCAACCCATTTTCAATTCATCCTGCAGTCAAAATAGAATGTTTAAACAAAAGCACAATTGGATCCATTTTGTATTAAAGTTATATAGGAGGATTTTCTACTTCCGGGTGGATCATCAAGACTATTGGTCCTCCCAATTGTCAATCAATCTGGTGAAAATCCTCCTACACACTTTTATGCTAGCTGTCACACGAAGGGGAAAATACTAGTTACAGGTTCAAGGTATCAAGATCTGACATGAAAAATTTACAATCAGCGATGGTAAGAGTTAGTGCAAGTAAATTTGGTTAAAGTACAGCAGCGGAAAATGTGTGCAAAAAAGTTAAGGACACAACAGCAGCATTCATCTTTAGGTCCTGGTCCTACACAACTAGACACGCTTTACCAACTAAGTGTCTGAACCTAATTAGCTCTGTCCTGATTGAACTGCTAACACTGCACCTCAAGAGAGAAACTGGGACTGCAAGAGGATGTCAACGCTTAAGATGTGTAACAAAACACGACATTTGAGTCTTGCATTTGCAGTAACAGCTGAATGATTCCAACTATAGCACCTACCATATGTGTGTCCTGCCCGTTTGTTTGGTTGAAAAGTCTCTCTAACTCATTGCTGTCAACTGGTTTCTTCCCCACCACGCTGCCATTGACCTCCACCTCCCTTCTGGCAGCTCCGTTCAGCCCCACGGCCCCCTGGGAAGAGGACTCGATGGCCGCGCTGTGTCCGGCCTGGGGGGTGGCCTGCGCCGTCTTGCACATCATTAACCTGAAGGACCACATACAAGCGATGCACTCAGCCACAATCACAGAGGAGGTCTTTGTGTTTCCATCTGAGAATATCGGAGAGCGTTCTCACCTGCCGCGGTAGCTGAACACCAGGAAAAGCACGCAGAAGATGATGCAGGTGACGCCGATGTGGATGCCAATTATTATCCCGGTGGCGGATGTTCGGCTGTGCTCGTCTTTTACGCAGTCGCATGGGTTGTCCAGCACTGACAAAACAAATCACACACGCAGTTGGAGACAGGTGGGGAGGCACATAAACAAAGAGATATTTCATTGGCAGCCCACTATAGACAAATACACTATAGTGGGCCCTTTTATCTAACTATACAATACTATTCTATTCTAAAGCACAGGTAAGCTACAAAGAAATGTAAAAAGTGCATTGTGTCTTCTTTTGTGTCTTTACTGTTGATTCTCTGATCTGTGTTGACGATTTTTATGGTTTTGTTAGGCCCTCTGAGATGACTGCTGTTTTGATTTAGGGCTATACAAGAATAAATTAAATTGAATGTAAAGGCGGTCAGGTACTAGCGTCTTTATACTTTTGTCCTACTAGAAAAACGTTCTAAGCCTTTAGCAACATACAGTCCGGTGCTGTGTCTTGTCACTGAAGACATTCTCCTTAGCTGACTGGGTTCACGTCTGTCGCTGTAGCCTTGTTTTTTATCAGTCTTATTTAGGATACACAGACTGCATATGGACCAAACCGTTTTCACAGTGGCCGGGAAATTGAAATAAAGACCACGCATGGGGCCAATTCAGGACAATGCATGACTAATGACAAGTCCACTTAGGAGCTGAAAAGAAATGTACGTGCAGGCACCAGGTGTAAACTGTGTTATTGGTTTTATAAGCGATGAATTGTAGAAACTAGTAGTAAAGTGTTGTGTAATCATGAGGGCCAAGACACATTTTTGTCAGGGCTGCATTTGGCTCGTGGGCCTTGGTTTGGGAATGTCTTATATTTCTCATTAACTTTTCTAAATTGGTCATTCCTTTATTTCACACTAGTCCAATTATGTTAACTTGTGTATGTTCGTGTAAATGCATTATTACATGGAGTATATATTAAGTACATTAAAACATCCTTGGGAAATATATGTAAAAGACAATTGACTCTCTTGTACCTGTTTGTGTCGTTGTAATGTAAGAATTCTTAATACAATGTTAAAAAAAAACTTTAAAAAAGAAATCCGTCACTAATACTATAAATTCAGGAATTGTTCAACCAAATGAGTGTCATGGTCTGTGGGACAAACAAAATGAGGCTATAAAACATAGAACCACTGGGTATAAATAAAGTAATATTAACATGTAAACAGATGTATGATAGCATCAGATAGCAAACTGGAGAAAACCATAATACTTTAAGGTAGCATAAGATGGGAAAACGTTTTGAATACACTAAAACACATTACCATGAGGCTCTGTGGTTTAATTAGCTGCGCTCCCTTTGATTCCTGTTGCTGGATCATGATTATGTGGCAGCCTGTGCTTTATGACCCACAATGAAAGAATACCTTTTTACACATTACAATAGACTGCTTTTTGGACAAATGTTTGTGCCCCCTTTTGTAAATTCACATTGGATTTCTTTATTGCGCTCCTCACCCTTTCTGTATAAATAGGAAGCATGCCCAGAGAGAATAACTGGGGGGCAAATTACCTCAAATCTCCCATAAAGGGGCTTAAAGGGGGTTAGTGTGCGGTTGTGTTTGTGCAAAGGGAGTACCAGATTTCTCCAAGGCTTCCCGGAGCGAAACAAATCGAACAGTGGCGTTCCCATCCCCATGTTGGTTGTACGCAAGCAGTTTTATCTCGTAGACGAGGGAGGAATCTGGATGAAAGCAAAGTAAGATTATCAGATGCAAAAGCTTTATACCAAAAAGATCAGAGCGCATGATGCTGGCGGGCTTTTATGTCAAATTGCCCTGAAAGCTAAACATAACAAGCCCAGTTGGAAGTAACAAAAGCGGATATTGTTGTTGATACTGACCGAGCTGAGTGATGCTGTATTGGGTGACGTTGCGCGGGAAGCTAATGGGTCCAGTGAAGGCCGGAGAGTGGGCGCGTCGGTAGAAGAGCTTGTAGCCGTGTTGTTGACCCACTTTGACGGAGGGGTCCCAGGATGCTTGGATCACACTGCTGTTCAAGACTTTGGTGTAGAGAGATGGAGGGGCTGGCACTGAAATAAACACAGTAGGAAGCAATGTCAGCGTACATGAACAGGTGAAATCAGAATATCGTTCAAAAGTTCCCATCTTGTATTTCAACTGTCTGCAGGTTTTAATTCCAACCAAGCAGGAGCACACCAGACTCCACCCAGTTCCTCAAGTCCTCAGGTCAAGAAGGACAGGTCTGACACTTCTGCTATAGACTCATAACATTTGGGATATGCCAAGTCTTTCTTCCTCATAATTATGATGGTTATAGCTTACGGTGCATTATCAACAGCTCTGAGCCATAATTATGAACATCATACCAAAGTCTTGATGAATCTCACTTTGCCTGTAATGAGTCTGCCATATGTTAGTTTCATACAATACATACAATATTGTTTACTTCTGAAATACAGAAGTAAACAATATTGAGTGAACGATATTCCAAATCTCACCAATTATTGCAGCCTCGCCTTGTCTAAAACCCATCACAGAAATAACTAAGAGAAAAAGATGTAAAGAAAAATGTTTGTGGGAAGCCAGGTTCTAAGGTGTTTTGGATTCAGTAGGAATGTAAATTCTACTACTTTTGCACATTTCGGGTTAAACGTGTCAAATTTTGCATTGCTTTTACAATATTACATGTGAATCTAATTTTATTGCTGTCACACTTCATCTTGTAATATAAATGAATGTCAACTATGCAAAGTTAATGTTTGTGCTGCCCTTGACGTGTGCTGCTGACCTGGTTCATCCCAGTGCTTATCCCTGGTTTATACAGGTCAAACAAAAACAAGAAAAATCTGAAAATGGCAGCAATATATAGCCTTAAATCATAATGTGTCATCTATCATTTATTAAACAAAAATATGATTCGGCAATTACAGTAACAGGCCTACATGAATAATCTGCTTCCACACTGCATAAACCAAACAGACCTGATAAAACAACACGACCACGAGACGCTAACAGCAAACATGGGAGCTATTATCGCTCCCTGAAGCGCGAATTACGACTCCCTTTGACTCAATGTTGCATATAAACCGCAACAAACTGCTATATGCAACGCTCGGGCGGCGTGTAAATATAAATGTGTTGGTGGGGATAGTGCAGACGGTAGCTCACCCTCCCCGTGCGTGCTCCGGGTGACACTGGCTGACTGCTTGCTGGCCCCATGGGAGGTATAGGCCTTGACGTAGAAGGTGTAGCTGGTGGAAGGCTCCAGATCCCTGATGATCTGCTGAAGCGTCACCTTGCTGACCGCCTCTTCGTACTCCATCTCGACTGGGTCTGACGGAGAGATGATGGAGGAGGAGGAGGAGAGACGGGAGGAAGTTAGAAGGAGAACAAGGTAAGAAATAAAAATGGAAAGCAGGTTGTAGCAGAAGGGTACTGCCTGGAGCCACGAGACGCTGCGTGAAGGGTAAAGCCAATATATACGATCGGTTTCTGTCATTATTTTATGGTTATGGCCTATTCCACTGGTTTTATCGGAGCATCTCTCTTAGGTAATAGCTAATCCAGTTTGGCCCTGGGAGCAGATCTGTGACTGCGGAGGAAGATGAAGGTGCAAAAAATGGGAGTAACACTGAATGCATTAGAGCATTTTATTGCTCTTAATCCAGAGACCCCCAACCATAACTACTATCTTTCTCTGGCTCTTAAGGCGTTGGGCCATGGCATCTTGGAAAGGTAATTACAACAGATCCTATTGGTCGCCCCCTCGGGTCCTTAATTACCCATCTGACAGAAGTACAGAGGAGAAAAGCAGCTGGCACACAGGGACAGTCCTGTCACACACTCATAAAGAGCACTGAAGCAAAGATCCTGCTACAACAACAACAACAGGCTCTATGCTCTCTGTAGGGAATGGGCTGAAAACACAAAGCTTTAGCGCACACAAAAACATATAGGTCTTGTTCTAAAATCTCAAAAAACATAATCTGTCTTTTGAGTCAATTGTACTGCTGCTGGTCTGTACTATTGACAAAGATACAATGCATATAATAGTATTAGGAGCTATGGTAGTGCGTCTTCTTTTAAAAGCTTGGATTATTTTGGCATCAAAATGGCTATGTTTACGATTTATATATAATTCACTTGGCCTGCTTCATCACGATCATTCATCATGATAGCCATAAAAATGCATTTCCTCTTTAATTAGTATGGATTAAAAGCAGATTAGTTGTTAGCACTCTCGCTTCTCCTGGGTTTGAACCCTGGCTTTTCTGAGTGGATATTGCATGTTCTTCCTATGTCTGCAAAAGGTTTCCTCCAGATGCTCTCGTTTCCCCTCCCACTAAAAACATGTATAGTAGGTCCCATTCCGTTTTGTCGCCTTTCACGCGTGAATCACACGAGACTCACGTGTGATTCACGCGTCTTTTATTTTCCCCCCTCCCAGTGACGTTGCAATGACCAAAACAACCACCAGGTGGCACTTGTGAGCAGGGTTACATTGGCGAGTTTCTGCCCCGCGCACATCGACAATCTGGTTAAAACGGGCAACTCCTTGTAGCAGGCCAGTCTCTGGAATAACCCGCAGACATTAAAACTACTGCATATAACGTAAACTTTTGCATCACGTTGGTGATCTTTCCAAAAAGAGAGAATATCGTTATGGAAAGAGAAGCTATTGGTAATATAACGCTGAACGTTATCTGACTCAAACAGCTCCGCTGGTGTCTCCTCCCACTCAGAAAAAAAGCAGACGCCCTGTACACCAGCGCAACATATCAGCAGCAGACTTTTCTGTTCTTATCTTTTTAGAGGAATCTTCATGCGGCAATCAGCGATACATCCATACACAATTGTAGAGCCTGGATTATTGTTGTCGCCTCAGTGACTATTTGGTAGTGGCGCTGGTGAAGTCTTCTTTATGGAAACACTGGTATAGTGTTTTTTTATAAGCTATTGTGTCTAGTGAATCTTGTTTCTTGGTGTCTATTTCTGTCTCTTGTTTTATAGTGTGGGCCTTGAGACTGAATGAAGAAATTATTTTTATATTTTCCTACACTTTCTTAAGTGTAACATGAACCTGTTCAGGGACAACGGGTGGAAATTAGACTCTCATGCTGTAACCTGGCACATGGCATCTCTTCTGTCATAGAGGTCAGTTGTGCATTGTCCCCGATCAAATAAATGAATAAATAAATAAATGACAATGATGATTTTAAATATTGGCTCGATGACTCTTTCAATACATTCACATTATTCAAGCTTTGTGTATAAATGATAAAGTCATGTAAATGTGACATTTGCGGCTTTCTGTAGTTTGAAGTATGAGGTATGAGCAACTCAATTGATATTGCATATGAATTTCTCTATTTTGACCTTAATAGTCATGATCATAAATGAGTAATATTCCTCAGATGGATTTGGGCACATGAGTACAGTAAAAACCGGCGCACTCCTGTTCTAATAACAATCTGAACCGCACATTTACTAAACACCATTATAGACTTTGTCAGAACCACATTTCTACCTGAGCTTCTGCGGATGTGAAGCACGTATCCGATGATGTCCTGAGTGTTTTGCTCCGGCTCCCTCCACGACACCAGGATGGAGGAGGGGGACAGCGCCTCCGCCTGGACCTCGCTGGGCACGCCGGGCAGCCCATCCGCCCACAACACGGTGAGGCGCGCACTGGCCTGAGTGGAGCCTGCTGTGTTCTCGGCGATGCACTGGTATATGGCCTCATCCTCCTGGCTGATGCTATAAATGCTCAACGTGCTGTGAGGGGAGAGAAACGAGAAAAGAAGGACAACAGCGGGTTAGATCTCCTGGCGGGGGGGAACATACCGTACAGTACATTCAGCACATACAATATTATATAGAATTAAATATGTAAAAGCCTTCGGGGAACATGAGCGCTTCGATTGCAGCAAAGTTACATGCTGTTTCTGTACCTTTAACCCTTGCATGTTGCAGGCTACGGGAAAGGTTATATAAAGAGGGAACAGCTTCGGTTCCAATCACATGGATCAACGACATGACCAGTGTGGGACCAAAGATGAACAGTAAATTGCATCACCATAAATAAATGAAGTCAATTCAGTCACATCACTGGGAAAAGAGCTACTGCAATTATATGCGTGTTCGGAACATGCAGCAGCACTAGATTCGGGGCACGTTAAATCAACAGCCGTCGTCTCAGAGGACTTTACAAAGTTCTTGATTCCTGATTCAGATTCAGATTCATTTTATTAGCCATGTGCAGTATAAAAACTACATTGGAATACATTAGCAAAAAAGGTACTCTGTGAGCACCGACAGAAAAAGAGCACGATACAATGTAATCTAAAATACACATACACTGGAGATAAAAGAATTAAAAAACAGCTGACACTGTGGCACCGATCAACAAAAACGATACAAGGGGTAAAAGCAGGAATTAAAGTGCTCTGTTTAGGCACCTAACAGCTTGTGGAAAGAAGCTGTTAGCATAGCGAGATGTCCTGCATCTCAGCGACCGATATCTTCTGCCCGAGGGAAGATGCTGGAACATGGCTTTCCCAGGGTGGCCAGAAGAGTCACTGATGATTTTAAGAGCACCAACAGATCAAACAGTTTGAACACAGGAAATGCATTAATAACAAACTCATAGGAGCCACTGGTCCATAGGGAGCGGGTAACCAATGTCCAGAAATGTCCTTAAATATCCCGGATCATTTCTGTCCTTAGTCCTGCGAGCATCGACTAAGAACAACTTAAAGACTCAAAAACAGTGAAAAAGCCAATTAAACCTGTTGCTTTAACGGGACCTATTAGTCGTCCTTACAGAGTCACAGATCTGTTTCAAAAGACATTTGTTGGCTTATGTGACTACAGGACAACGTGCACTGGTTTGGTTGTTTCAAATATCCACATATCAAGCTTTTCTGTGAACCAGAGCATCAAAAGCAAGGCAAGGCTTTGCTTATTTTAATGGTATAGTACACAAGGTAATGCAAAGTACTAAACAAATCTACATTAAAAAACAATCACAGTGCATTTAAAAGAATGAAGATACAATCCTTCAGTTGAAACAGAACAATTTTAACCTGGATTTGAATATTGTAAGAGTAGAGAATCAAAATTAGGGGTGGGAACCTCAGGGTACCTCACAATACGATACGACACACCATGTCCTGCACGATAACGCTCACGATAACGATTAGATCACGATATGACGATTATCAATACATTGGCCATTAATATACTGTTATTGAAATCTTTTAGTAAAGCAATCTGAATAAACACAAAATAGTGTAAGTTATTAACTAATTCTCAACTCTGGATTCAAATACAGCACATATGGTCTGTTGGCAGCAATAGATGGAGATGTGTTTTTGGCAATATCTGGGTCATAGAACTATTTTTAGGTCAAAGCAGATTATTAGAGTTGTATCAGAGTTGTATCAGAGTAAGGAAGCGTACAGAGGAGCCTTGAGCGACACATATCAATACTGACATTCATTTATGTAATATCTAGAGTAGATATGTCTGTTTACTCTGGTCTATTTAATGTCCGTCATTTCTCATTCGTGGCAGACGGTTTCAGACGGCTGCCCGGTGGTATCGGTATCGGTCCTATTACTCATTGTATATGTCACATTTATCAATGAATAAACTCACACTTTACAGCTCTTGGTTGTTTACATTATTTTTGCTCTCGGCCTGTGCAGAAATTCCACAACAATACCTATGATTATTTATGGCATAAATAAAAGAAAAATTTTGAAAAAATACACTTTATTTCATGATAAATGGAATGGAGATGCGTAATGTAGCCATATATTTAGTATTGATACCAACAAAAAAATAAAAAAAGATTTCAAACATCGATACTTGGCAAAAGCATATCGATAATCGATTGCGTGAGAAAGTATCACAATACATCACAATAGTGATATATCGTCACACTCCTAATCAAAATGTACAAGAATTGGTCCAGCTAAAGTGAAGCAGACCAGCAAGAGTGAAAGCGCCCGAAGCCTGGTGTGTACAAGCAGAAACCAGAGAGCGAAAAACAGATTCAAACTGAGAACACAGGAAATGCATCTTCACATTGAAAAGTGAAGATGACAAATGTGTAGATTTTGAACACTTTTCTACACATATTCTAGCTTTGAGTTTTACCCTGATCATGTTCAAAACGTGGTTGTTTGGCTGTGCATACAACTCCTTCATTTTATGAAGAGTTTAACACTTCCAACACTTATCAGCTGTACGGTTTTAGTATGAAATTGTCGTATAAATTGTATGCATTTTTTGCACATGAAACTGTGTTTTTAATTTTTCTTTTGAAACACTTCAAATTTCCTTGTACACAAACTGTGCTATACAAACACATTTGTATAGATTGATTATTGATTGATTGAACATATGGCTGCATTGTCTATTCAAGATAGTACCCAAACATTTCATAATAACAAGAGTTCAGCTGGAGGTGTCCTTGAACAGTAGTTATCAATATTACAATAAGAATTTCCAGGCAAATTACTGCACATGTCTATCAACTACCTATATATTACAAAGGTTCCAGGAAATAGACACAGTTCCAGACTCCTACAAAATTAAAAACAGTATTTTCTTTGACTAAAGAGAAACTGCAGCTTATCTCTTTGTCCCCATTTACCGAGCTGCTGCTTTGCCTCCCACATTGCTGTCTGCATCGAAACAACAAACAACATCCAGGGCATTGTATATTAATAAATATCTATGTGTCTAGATATGTGTGTTGCCGAGTAGGAGTTATTAGACTAGAATATACCATTTTCCTCTCACAGTTTTCATCCTAAGGCAAAAGGAAAATAAAACATTTAACATTATGTGAAAATGAGGCCCTATGGTGCAGAAGACATTGTCATGGGATTTTTTTCAAGCCAAGGCCATGTCTCCTGAATTTTAAGCACACAAAATATGCAACATAAACATAATAAACACCTTGGGAATTATGGCCATATCTTAACAGAATGAGCCGGGGCCTGAGACCGTGTGTTTTGGAATCTTATGCAAAGCGGAGGTCCACAGTCAATTGCCCAAGGAGTTAAGTGTATTGCGTAGCATTAAGCTAATCTGTCAAAAGCAATTTTTACAAAGCCCGTCAAAAGGATTGCCATTTTCTATGACTGACAGCTGCAATCTGCGGTGAATTAAATACAAAAATGCATTCAGAACCGTCAGATTTGGCCACTGGGGGAAAAAAAAAATCAGTAAAGGTAGAGTCTACCGTCTCGCCCTGAGAAATGGGAGATGCGACAGTGGCAAATCAACAAGGACAGCGTGAGTGACCCCGTAACAGGCGACACTGCACTTTGTTAGGATGGATTTACACGGACAGGAGGGAGTCCGCAATTGGGTCAGGACACGGGACGCTAGAGCAAATCATTCCATTTCCTTTTGTGGAATTGATGTGCCATAGGTTACAATTATCCCATTTCTAATCTGGGGTCTGGCAAAGTGCGTATGTTGGAGGAAGCCATTATACCTGATATACAGTAGGCCAGGTGGATTCAATCTACACAATTATCGCCCCCCCCCCCACACACACACACACCCTCCCCGCTCCCTGGAGTCTTCCTGAACTTTGACATTTGAGGTGGCTGCTGCGTGGCCCCTTTAGCTGGCGCGCTCGCCTGACAGCCGTTCAGAAGCTGGATGGATGGAGTGTTTCCAGGCAGGTAGCCGTTACGGACACTCACCATGCACAAAAGCGGCCCCCGGGGATAAAGCGGCCCCCAATGCCCCCAGGCCTCATCACAGGAACCGGAAGCTCCAGAGGAATTCCACAAGACAGTGTTTCAGCGGTGGACATGCGTACACATACACACGCACAATGGGGGGACATTATATGAGATTTCACAGCTGCTGTCAAGGCTTCAGGAAAGATAGAGTGAAACTTCTTAGGACAGGCGATGTAACACAGGAGAGAATTGTTTATGGACACAGATAATCCAGTAGTTCAACCAGAGAGGCAAAGTCTGAAATCAACAGGTGACAATAGATGGAAAGGACTGGGCTTTGTGACCGAGGAAGTTGCCAATAATGCAACTGGAACTACTCCTTATAGTTTAAAGTGAAATTCAAAGCAGGCATATTTGCTACGCACACAGAGATGGAAGCTTAATAGGCATAAGTGTCATGTAATAACAATTAATTATGGAACCGTGACATAATATAATTGTGGTAATTGTTTGAAGTTTATGCACAAATACAATTGAGAAAATGCTAAATATAATATGGCTCTTTCTCTCTTCACAATTCTCTGAGGACATCCAGTCTACTAGGATGTGTTTGTGCGTTGCTAGTGGATTTGAAAAGACTTTGATTTATCTTTTTTTTTAAAGTCCCTTAAGCTCTGATTGTTGTCTGATGATATCTTGCTGCTCTGCTTTATGTCCAAACTCTTAACAACACTTTCAAATGTATGCACAGTCTTTTACATACGCAGTCTGTTTTTGTTTCAGAGGTAATTCCTTGGAGATAAGGCCTCCCCGGCAGTTTGGTGCATAAATTCCCTTTTAGAGATTAAAAAAATGACACAGGAGGCGCACAGACCCAAGCTCAGTGGCTTTTAAACAGACAACGTATGTTCCTGTGAGATAGTGTGCTCTGCAGAGGAAATCTTGCAGAAGGGTATTATTTCGTTCACTCTACATAAATATTTAACAGCTGAGCATGGCCACCAAAGATCTATACAACGAGCGTGAGGGAACAAAGGGGAAGTGAGTGAACAGAAGGAGAAATTGAAATTTGGGGAGGTTCAAGTGATTGTGGGGATTCTCTGCTGGTTATACCAAGCTGTCCAGTGCTGACAGGTTGACGGACGCCATCATTTAGTCATCAGTTCAAGGTCATTGGCCAGATTGAAGTATAGGGCCCAGGGCCAGGGGAGTGGCTCTCCGAGGGGCCACGGTCTGTTGTTCAGCTGCAGAAAAAGTGTTTACACGCTGTTGTCTCCAGGCACAAGGACCAACCCCCCTCTGCTGCCAACCTGAGCCAGCCTGGCCGTCCGGGTGAGCAAATCCAGGGGAAAAGAGTGAGAATGCACAGGGACAAAGGAGGGGAGAGAGGGGAGCTGTCTGCGGCCCGAGAAGAGGGACGGACCAGGGATATGACTGATTACAGCGGGGGCCACAGGTCAAGGCCAATGCCCAGGCGAAGGAGGCAGAACGGGGGATATGAGGCGCCCACAGAGGGATAGTGAAGAAAGAAAAGGAACAAAAACAACGCTTTTTGAAAAGATTTTACATGAAATGTCGAGTTTTGCAAGAGCCTCAGATCTTGCCCATTAATTATAAGACACCCCTGCAATGTTCCATAAAGACATGCCTTTATCCACAAATAGAATAATTAATGAACAATTAACAATAAACAAGATTAATAAATCACATGCATCAATTATTGACACTTACCATTTGTCTTGGTCAGACAACTAAAATCTAATGAACTGCATGCATGTGTGACACTGTATCATCTGCTATACCTTTTAAATACAAGCCAATAGTAGAGCTCAGCTTCTTTCTTTATTGTTTACCCCAATCCCCTTGTGCCTACATATTAGAGCTCATACATGTTTTATTGTTGGATCTAAATTAGAAAAATCCTCATTAAATGCTCTAAACCAGTCACCACAGGGACAATTGAATTCTCATAAAACAATTAATCTGCAGCAGCTCCACATTAAAACGAATACACGGATCTCTATAATCACATTTCTCTTAACAGAGAAACGTGAAATCAAAGTGGCCCAGTGCTGATTACACAAGATTGTTTTGAAAAGACTGAACGCAATCAGGAGCCACCTCAATACGCTTCAAACAGCCACCATAGCATGTTTTTTATCCGCGTGCTCAGCAAAGACATTATAATGAATAGCCTAGCTGTAGTGCCAACAGGCGGAGTGTGAGCGCCACAGTGGTATTGGCTGGAGACATACGAACATCCAGAAAGAGCCACATGTGTTTATCAGAGCAGCCAATCAGGTCATCTCTGCCTCTGTTACCAGGTGAATAGCTGTCCAGGACTGCACCATATGCAAGCTAACTATGTACGATGGGACAAAGGAGAAACTATATTGCTTCCTCCACACTTCTCCTCGTGACTTCCTGGTTTGAAAGTTTTGAGATTTTCTGATGTGTGCAATGGAAAATAATAATCTTAGAGGAGAAAGTTACAGTGACGGGTTGTATGTTCTTTCCGTAAGTCCATAGAGAGAAATGTAAGCTTTGTCAACTTTACTGTGGCCTCCAGGACAATTCTCTATTGTCAAAACACTATGGTTTTCTGTTTGTTATGGTGCTGTTATTGAAATATTTTTGTAAAGCAATCTGAATTAACACCAAACAGTTATAAGTGTAAGTTATTAACTAATAGTCAACTCTGGATTCAGTTGTCATCCAGGTCAGCTGATAGATGGAGACGTGCTGCAACATGTCTTTGACCTAATTTGGAAAGTTTCAAATAAGGTCGCACATCCCTGTAGTTTGAGCTAGCGTGCTGGATTAAAAGAATGTAAGACGTAAAAACAGTGAAAGAAATCCGCACAGCTATGTAGCTCCCAATAAGAGCGGATTTTTTTCACTGTTTTGACCTCATCTGAGTCATAGAACATTATGTTCATTATTACAAGTATCAGTGTTATATCAGCGTACGAAAGCGTAAAGAGGAGCCTTGAGCAACACATATCAATGTTGACTTAATCTATGTAATATCTAGAGTAGATATGTGTTTGTTTACCCTGGTCTATTTAATATCCATCATTTCCTCATTCGCGGCAGACTATTTCAGACGGCTGCCCGGTGGTATCGGTATCGGTTCTGTTATTCATTGTATATGTGCACATTTACTAATGAATAAACTCACACTTTGATTGTTTTATAGCTCTTGGTTGTTTACATTATTTTTTCTCTTGGTCACTGCAGAGGGCGACAGTGGCTCAGTTGGTATAGCATTGGCCTTTGGGCTTGAAGGTCGTGGGTTCAAGCCCACCGTAAGACCTACTTCACAACTCCCACTGTTGTTGTGTCCTTGGGCAAGACACTTAACCCCACTTTGCCTAAAAGCCCCCACTGAAAGATCTCAGCTCCTGTGGACTCACCACCTGCAGGAGGATCAGTGAGGGGCTGGTGCTCTGTGTCCTGGGTGCAGCTCTGATTGCAACCCCCCGACCCAGAAATGGATTAAGGGGAAGAAAATGGATGGATGGGTCACTGAAGAGTTTCCACAACAGTGCTTTCATTGATGTAATGCAGTTTTTTGTCTTGCTATGGAGTCTGAAATAAAGCATCTATCAAATATGTTGATGTATTTATTATTATTATGATTTGGTTTATTTGAGTAGGGACGGATACAGAAAACGGATAGACAAACAGTAAGCATCATGGTGCTTATAGCCAAAGCTAATTAGCTATATAACTTGATATATATAATTGATTTACAAGAGACCTGTGGTAATTTGTAAAAACCAAGCTTCAACCTGTTACAGAACTATGTAGTTGCATGTTATTTAGAATGCAGCTCAAAATATGGTAACCATGAAATGAGAAAGAGATACGCACAAACAGACAGAAATACACAGAAAGATAGATATGTATAAAGATATCTACAGTATATCAAAGAAACTTACCAGATATATTTTTCTTACTAGTCAAATGCATTTACTGTTTTTGATAGAAAACATTTGCTACATAAATTCTAAAGCTCAAATAAAAACAAGCGCTGTCCATGTCTCAATGGAGAAGTGCTATAATGGTTTTGCCTGAAATATAGGTGCTAACGGTTTCTTAGATTGACATGGTTGCTGGTCATCTAAATGTGGAATGCACTGTGCCCACGCTGGGGAGACTGTGGGCTACACTGTTGTGAATTTGAAAGAAGGCTGAGATAAAACAAGCTTCTGTTATGAAGGTGTTTTGACAGTAAAATGGAGCTCAGCATACATAAATGTATGAAAATAATAAAAACAAATGAGTCTCAAAAAGCGTTTTTGGCGATTGGTGTTTAATGCATGGAAAATTGTCTTCTGCTTTTTCCTGGTATTTTCATATTTGATTATGTGTGTGCACTAAATGAATGATGGCCTGTTTGCTCCGGCCTAAGTAGCTTTGTGATTAATGCGTGTGCATGCGTGTGCGAGAACGAAATGTACAATCGATCCTCTGCTTCCTTCCTGCCCCTGTCCGATGTGGTCTTGAAGGTCAGCTCTGTGAGAGATGACCACTTCCAGCAAGCATGCGCACACACTACACAAACTGATTAGCATCCAACCGCACCTTCATGTATGTATTTTTAAGAGTAGAATTATTGAGCTGCTGGGAGCTGCTTGAATATCGTTTGCATATCATTATACTTTTGTTTTGGTTCAGCTCAGAAGGTGAAAAACACCACATGCCATATTATTTTGTATATTTCATGACCTGAGCTCCATTATTACAAACATAAGCCATTAAGATAAGAGGGCATTCTGTTCTTTCCCGACCATAAATTGAGATGCATAGTTCAGTTAGGATTAATTTAGTCCCAAAAAACAACTGCAAGTATCTAAGAATGATCGGTTTCAACAATCGCATATTGACTAGCCTTGACATTTCCTCTGTTTAATCAAATCTGAACCCGCCCAGCAGCCTCTATCATGGTAAACAAACCACAACAACAATAACTCTGATGCACAATACATTTATCAGGATACAAAGGCCTCCTGGCTGAAAGAAATATGAAAATGGATCATCTTGATAGACCTTTCAAGAGTGTCCATCTGTCTGGTGTCATCTGTGGAATAATGAAAGAACATACTGCATACAGCTTTTCGAATGACTGAAGTGTTATTTAGTGAATATGTAGCAAGCTATAGGCTTTAGTTCATAGGACTGTGCTCTATCTCTCAAGCTCAAAAGAATCAATTTCCTCCATTGAAATGATAATGGCATATTCCCCTCAGAAGTATAAATACTGGCCCTTTTATTAAGCGTTGTAAAGATCTAATATTATGCTATATTGACTTTGTTTTATGATCTTAGACATGTAATCTGACAAAATCTTCAGAGCTTCAAATCCATTTCACCAAACTCCATCTCATCACTTCATTCAAAGAGAAATGGAACGATAACCGGTATTAAAAAGCCACACTGCGAGAGCCTGCTTTAAGACCATTCTAACATTTATTACACTGAATGTTCAGAATAGGAAAGTGTTCTATGTTAATATTTTCTCTATAACATCACAATTGCAATATATTTCTACAGCTACAGTGTTGTGCATAAACAAGGAGCAATAGCATATCATTTTAAAACATATTCATCAGATCTTGCAATAGGGTATTTGCTCCTCATTTCTTTGATATGCACAAAACAAACACAATACAGACGGATAAAATGTGGTTTCAAATAATACTACTGGCTTTTCCAATCAAAATATTGAATATAAACTAAGTATGTGGGATCTGTAACAGTGTTCTCCTTGTACAGTTTATATCAAATATCTTTTCCAATTTTTTTTCCATCAAAAGCACAGTGAAGAAAACTTGAAGATGCCCAATGTTCCAATGTCTTTGACTCTGGAGATAATGCTCCTAAAGCTATGATAATGAATCACACAGTAATGTCAAACGCTCTGTATTTGCTCAACAACTGTAACCCGGTTTATGAGCTAATTAGCTAATGGTAGAAGCCCGCGCCGCTGCCTCTTAAACCAATCACAATCCGCGGTTCCTGATGCATGAGGTGCACATTATAACGGCTCGCTCTGCATTAGCGTTGCTGAGTAGAAGCGCTGCTATGTCCCGACTGCTCCTTCTGTCTTTGTCTGCTCATTCGTCAATCGTGCCGACTCATCATTCCTCTTTTGAGCATATTTCTTGTGCGCTGTTTTTTTAATAGCTCTGTCTGGCCTTTCATTTGTTATGTCTCTGGCTTTGTTAGTGCATCACTCCATCTCTCAAACTAATATAAACTAGCAGTAGTGGGAGTGTGAGCAGCCGTCTTTGAGTGATGTAGGTGTCTGCATTCACTTCACTCAGAGCGCACTGCTGCTACTATTGATTTTCCAAGAGAATAATTTAACATATAAACTTCATATATCGCTTTTATGAATAACAACAACATGCACGGTCTGTTTACTGCCCGGGTCAACGTGGAAAAATAGTATGTCGGCAGAACTTTAATGCATGGAGGAGTTTACTCAAAAAGACATTAGCTATAGTTTATCGGATCACTTTAAAGTAATCTGTCAGGCTATAGACAAGATCACAGAAAACGTGTAGGGAAACCAAAAGATGTTTATGTTTTACTAGAAAAATATACAAGATAATTGCGATACCTAAAAATGATGTTAAAAAGGTGTTTGTATAGCAACAGGGGTAAACAAATACTACAGCAATGACTGTGTGCTGCTTGATAGTAGTACCCCTAATAAGCCAATGCTGAATGTGTATACTGTATGTAACATCAAACAAATTATTTATCTATAGTAGCTATTCATGTGACGGGAAAGCAAAATGATAATACATGATTTCAATATTGTAAAAAAAATAAAATATACCTAGCTCTGAGGCTCTGAGTTACCTGAGGACAAATGGTCCAATACAAACCTCTCAAATAGCGTCCACCAAATAGTAACCCAATCTCATCCAATGCATTGATTTTCTATAGCGCTTTTTGGACACTCAAAGACACATGTAATTAATGGTTTCGGAAGATTCATCTTGTCTTCTTAGTAGAATTAAAAGTATAAGGTAATAACATCACAAAACCTTATAATGTCTGGTATAGAAGAACCCAATACTTTTAACATGTAATTCATATTTCACTCCATACACAGTAGATATAAACTACTTCTGTAGCCACAGGTTCCCGGGGCACAATTGGCAGCAGCAAGGCAAGTATGTGCCATCGGCCCCTCTGACCACCACCAACTATTCTCGCACTCACCAGACTCATTCTAGCCCAGGACCCAACAACAGTTTGGCACTTTACAGTGCCCCACTGTGGCACCTGGTCTTCCCAGAAGTCTCCCATCACAGTAAGAACCAGGCCTTGCCCTGCTTAGCTTCAGAGGTCTGATGGGGTCTGGCTTTCACATTATCTGTGTCCCGGAGGTAAAATAATATTAAAGCCACCCTGTGTATTTTTTACAGCTGCTCCATATGCAAAAACATGTTAACTAATAACAAATGTGACCTTTTTAAGAATATTTACCTCCACCATGTTTTTTAAATTGTTTTCATAGGCTTAGAATTTAACTTATAAATGTCCATGAGAAAGGAGTGCTCTCCGTGAATATGCGCCATCTTGAAAAACGAAGGTGGATAAGGGACAAAAAGAATGCGAGAATAGCGATTTCGTTTCACATGAGCTACTGATATCATTGCTTTCACCGTGCCTTCACAAGTTGGAAGAAGGAACCATGGAGGACCACAGTTATATCAAAGAACAATTTGAAAAATAATTATGCAGAAGTCCAGCGTCATAGCAGCAAAGTGTCAACATCGCAAACCACACACACAAAAACAGCGTTAACACAACAGGAGGCACATTGTGTAGTTTGTACACAACAGACTAACGCTAATGCTAACATTAGCTTTTAGCCATCTCCTGCTGTATATCTCCTGCTTCTTTGATCATCGCTCCCACAGACGTTATTCCTCCATGCGTCTCTTCTCTTCACACCGCGTTTGTAAAACTATATATTATAATAGATCCATGGTAGAACTCAGTGCAGTGCAGCCTCTGTGCAGGGTGCCGCGTTCTTGTTTACATCCACTCCTCCACACGATTGTCAAGTGCCCGAGACGTTTGGAGAGATCCGGTCATTTATCAAACTGAAGTATTCTTTCCTTGGCAGTCTGGTGAATGACTGAGAGTTGAGGAGCTCTGTCTTTGACAGTGCTCCTCGGCTTCCGTACTTTAATAGACTGCAATATAAGATCTCAACGCTAGATGGCACTGAATATTACACAGTGTACCTTTAAGTAAAAATGAGGCATAAACTATATACTAGGCTGAGCTCTTGTGAGTAGATTAGTGGTTTGTTTTCTTCACTGACCAAAACATATTCTATACCATTCAGTGGAACGTTCCCAGCAAAGCAATGGAGACTTGACACATGTATGTACAACAACCAAGATTTGACTGTATTTATTCTGAATAAAGTGGCAGAAACCGAGTGCTTTCCGTCCCCTTTTCGACATCACAGTCTGTCATGGGAAAGCATCCAGCAGAGTGTGAATAAGCAGTGCGACTCACAAAGACACAGATAAACAGGGCCTCGCGTCTTGGCAACGTTATTACCCCGGTCTATTACTACAGCCGCTCGAGCATGTATGCGTCTGTTAGAGGAAGCAGGGAGAGAAGAACACTGATGATGCCAATGAAGAGATCAAGGCAGCAGCGATTGACCCTGACATCTTATCAGTGGCAGAGGTCCAGGCGATCGGGGGAGGAGCCGCCGGAGCAGAGGAAAAGTGCTCTAATGATGTGGAAATGTCTGGAGCTATATTATAAAACTCTTTTAAGTAAATCTCTGCTCTGTTTTATATGCAAAGATGTGGTTCAGTATTGAGATCCAATAAGAAATCCCAGATAATTACACATTCAGTGCTCTTAATCACCAGAGCAAAACGGCAATGAAAAGAGTTCGAAACTTTTCATAGACATACTCTGCTTTACTATGGCGTACTGTATATATCTTGCATTGCTCATTAACAGATTATTTATTACTTTATTACTAAAGATGTAGACACAAAATAATCAGATTATGACCTTTCTTATGTCTCCACAGATCTGACCATTACTTGGCCCGAAGACCAACCTTCGTCTCCATGGATATAGAGACATTTTAAGACATGAACACACTAATCAGCCATCTACTGCTCACTTAAGGACACAAACGTTACCTTACTCCAATATAGTGTGGAGGCCACTACGAGAGGCCTTAAAACCAAACAACCCTTGATATATGACGTATACTTTCTTTTTCTTTTTCTTTTCTTCTTCTTCTGTAAGTTGCATTGACTTCTGTATCTGTAGCACTTAGATCAGTGTTTTTCAACCTTTTTTGAGCCAAGGCACACTTTTTTCACTGAAAAAATCTTGCGGCACACCTCCAGGAGAAAATGTATACAGTACTAATGTAAAAATATATACTGTACATACTCTGTGTGATATATAAAGTATATCTTATCTTATCTTATAATGTATACAGTATACTCTGTAGCCTATATTCACAATATACAGTTATTCTCATCAAAATGCTTAAGTCCAGGCCTTGACTTTAAGCTTTATTTAATATTTCTCGATACAATTAACAAGAGTTTGGGAATAAAGTGGCACTAACTGTGTGGAAAAAAACTAAGAAAATCCACTCTCTGCCCAAATAGTCAAATAATAACTCACACAAAGAACATGCATTGTTAGTGCATGGGAAACATTTTGGTATCCGAGCTTTAAATTCAGGAGTTTTGGATGAGGGACACGGGAGGTCCTGAACGCGAGTCCATGGTTCTGTCCGGTCCGCATGTCTGTGGTTCTGTCCACCTGACTATGGTCTGCGCTCGGTACCCAGTTCAGAAGTGCGTTCGCGAGAGCTGTTGTACAAAAATGGTACATTTCATAGTTAAACCACTACAACGCGGCCACAGCTGCCCCGGGGCAGAGCGGAGGATGTTAATCCTGTTCAGAAACGGCATAATTCATTTTCAAAAACGTCTCTATCACTTTCACTTCTCACTCGCCACAAAGCTCTTGTCTCGCTCCCTCCCACATTTGTTGGTCGCATCCAATTTTACCTTTCTCGCCACAATGCTGACCTGTTACAGCCAGTGGTCGCATCCAATTTTTCAGTTTCAAAGTACTAAGCTATCTGCTGCCATCTACTGATTTGAAAAAGTATTACATGGTTACTCCACAGTTCAAAACAAGTCACCGCTCGTCAACAGCGAATGCAGCTATTTTTAGACAAAGTAGACAAATTTCTCACGGCACACCAGACAATATCATACGGCACACTAGTGTGCCGCGGCACAGTGGTTGAAAAACACTGACTTAGATGATCAATGGAAATGTAAGGTGCATAATGAATAAAATGTTGTTTCATTATTGTGTTTAGTATCGCGCTCCGGACTCTCTGGAGCAGAAGTCCACATCACCACGAGCCTGACTGACAGTGTGGCCAAGAGGAATGTTCGGCTCTCATCTACGCATTATCTTCCGCCTGAAAACTTGAAAAACAAAACCCTAACACTAACAGAAAGAAAGAGAACTCAGGGCCAATCAGAGCGCTGCTTTGACGTCCGCTGTCAAACACATTTGAGCAACCTTCTTCTGCGATAGACACATGAAGTTTGAAGCCTTTCATTGGTTTTCAAAAAAGCTCCAAGTTCAAAAAAGAAAAGACCTCCATACTTGGGCCGTGCCACCGTGGGCGGCACGGTGGCTGAGTGGATAGCACTCTCGCCTCTCAGCAAGAAGGTCCTGGGTTCGAATCCCGGTTGGACCAGGGCCTTTCTGAGTGGAGTTTGCATGTTCTCCCCGTGTCTGTGTAGGTTTCCTCCGTGTGCTCCGGTTTCCCCTACCACTAAAAATATGTACAATAGGTCTGGCATGTGCCTCCTGTACTGGCACCCCCACTCCAAAAAATAACAATTGTAAACCGCTTTGAGACTCCTATGTGCAGTGAAAGGCGGTATATAAATAAAGCTTACTTACTACTACTACTTGCTCTGTGGAGAATTGGACAATGCCAGAAGCATTTGAGAAGATTTACCACTTTATAGAGAAACAAGATGACTGCCAATTTCTTCACCATATTGACCTAAGACCTTGGTAATACGCCTTGAATGCATTTACAGAGAATATAATAATGTGATAAATAAGAAGAATAAGAAGCTGTAGAAAACAAAAGCCACTTCAGAGTTCTGTTCTCCCTTCAGTCGCTGTGAGTTTAGTGTTACCTGTTGTTGTTCCTGAGTTTCACGTGGCCTCCCGGCTCCAGGATCTGTCCGTTCTTGAGCCAGGTCAGGTGTGGCTCCGGCTCGCCCTGGGCCTGGCACGTGAAGATGGCCGTGGTGCCCACCGGCCGAGCGATGGACTGGGGAGGCTGGATGAACTCTGCAGGAGCTGGAAACACAATCAATAAATCAATCAACTTTTATTTGTAGAGCACCTTTCCTACAAGGCAACACAAAGCGACTCACAACCCATAACCCATCAGACATAAATCATCAACATAAAAAAATACATAGACAATAAAAAATGCAATTGCAATCTCACCGGACATTAGACAACAGATCACAAGAAATGAAATCATCAATAATATAATCACACAAGTAATTAAAAACATTAAAATCATACATGGGATTAAAATCATAAATAGCCACACAAACACAGACTGAAGTCAACAAACTCAAGAACAATGTAGAGCTATTCCAGAAATAATTCTGAGACCATGAAATTATAACTATTTTGCTTGACTGTGAATGTATTTCTAAGGGTGAACTTATTGGAACTAAGCAGCATTTTGATGTTGCAAAAGCTGATAAATGCCAATATAAAAATATCAAAAAAACATAGTTTTATTTTTTAAAGCCAGATATATTTTACTACAAAATCATTACCCAATCTTGTTGGACAAAGGGGAAGAAAATTAATGGATGGACTGATGGAACTTTAGAAATGATAAAAAATGTATCTTTTATTTTGTATAGGAAAAACAAGGCTTTGCATCCTGTGGCTAGTACCGTGCAAATCCCTTCAAATCAACCATGCAAACATGTTTTGAAACTAGAGGAACACTACTACAGTATAAATGAGTTTCCAAGCTCTCTCTTCAGACACTACAATGTCTGTTACTGCTTGGTGAGGGAGCAGACTTCCAACACGCAAAAATATTACTATAAATCTGAAACTACACAGTCAATTTAATCCCCATGATGCAAAGCTTTGTAAACTCTGTCACATTCTGTAATTTGTTTCTGTACATTAATTAAAAAGATATGATATTGTATTAATCATATCGGAAACTTCTAAATCTCAATCAATAGAGCAACTTTATGGTTCTCCCTTTGTCGCATCAGTTTGTATGTTGCAAGGATTTGGGGGAGAAACGTCAACCTACCTCGAAAGTAAATGTTTGAAGATGCCATTATCATGAATGTAGATGAAAACATTGCATAAATGGAGTAGCTTGAGGCTTACAGCTGTGGTTGATAACAGCTCATTCTCAAGAAAAGGTGTCGTTCGAACAGCAAGTACTTCAGCTCAGAAATACCAAGACTGACAAAGTAATTAGAGCTACATCGGATGAAGTTTGATTCCTTGTTCTGACGGACCAAAGACCAACGGTATAATCTTCTCGCTGCTCATTATTGTCCCAGAGGTTATCAGTAATTTGATAATCTGAATTATGCATGGCCATATTAGCTGCGGAAATATGTTATGTTAATTAAGATATCTCTAAAATAATCAGGCAGGGAGAGAAGGAGCTTGCGCTGTCAAACACAATGAAACAGCTCGGCCCAAAGCTTGTGAATGCAGAGATTGGACACCAGCCAGTCACCCAGAGACTCTCCAGGCTAATTGTGAAATCACTGCTTCCACACAGGTGCTGCGGGGAAAATGCACTGTCAATGGCGTTTTCGATTAAACAGGAAACGAGAATATCTTCCAACTTGCCAACATCTCGTACCAGGAGATTTGCTTTGCTGTTGTGTTGGAATTAAATGTCATTTTGTGCAAGTGTAAATACATGATTTTAATTATTATGTTTCCCAGTAGCCCATTCCCAGTATTCCCAGTTTGAGAATGAGTGATTGATTTCTTCATTATCTTTATTATCTCTGCTGTGCACAAGTTTCTTGATATTTATTATGAATTGCTATTGAGCTCTGCCACTTGACTCATAATTTCATTCTGCTGTATTCTTTCTATCCGGCCTTTGACATTTTTACAGCTCTTATTTACAGTAATATCCACTATGTCGAGTTAGATATAGTACATTCCGGACTAATGATCGGCAACATACATACAAGGATACATTACCTTATATGCAAAAACCTTAGAGAAAGTGTTGACATTTGAACCACAATTATATATTTATAAGTAAATTGCTGATTATAGTTCTTGTTGTACAAAGGTTAAGTGTTATACGTGGTGGTTAGGCTATGTATCATTGACTAAACAATGTTGTTTGCTTTTTGACTAATCACAAACATCCCTGAAGTAGATTAATACAATATCACAAACAAGAACCACCAACTCAGTGTAAACTGTGTGAATAGCACAGTGGAGTGGATATGTAAAATGTTGACCAGAATATTTAAAAGGCCCATAGTCTAAATCTGTAATACCCTCAGAAATAGTTTTTTTTAAAGATGGTTTCTTTCTTAAGATGCTAGATCAGACTCCTCTGTGGTGGATGAGAGCATTTGGCTTGGTGGTTCGGATCAACATGTTGTTAGGTGCAGGTTCTGCTGTCAGAGGTCTTATAGCACCGAGCTAATATTGTTCACCGTTATCCTCTGATGGTTTGCTATTGTTTAGAATCTGCATGGACAAGTGCTTTTAGAAGGGTATGATCACACCTTCTAGGAGCACTTTTCTGTGTGGAGTTTGCATGTTCTCCTTGTGTTTGCGTAGGTTTCCTCTGGGTGCTCCGGTTTGCCCTGCCACTGAAAACGTGTGCAATAGGTCTTGCATTTGCCTCCTTGCAACCTTGCTCAAAAATCGCTTTATAAGAATTGTAAAGCGCTTTGTGATACGGTCTAAATGAATAGCCTTGACTAACTTACTAAAACATACTACAAATCTGTAGTATAAGCACAAAGTTAACTTTAGTATTTACACTGTCTCTGAAAAGATAGCCTTGGACTGTGACTGACACACACCTGCAGCTTTCTCCTTTCACAAACCAACCATTACGATCGTATCTCTCAAATAAGTTTTTTTTATGGACAGCTTGATCAATTCCTCCCATGATTTCTTGTTTGCTCCTGTGTCCTTCTTCATCCACTGCACCCTTAAGACAAAATGGCCACTGACACTTTTCCAATGTAGGCGTTTGGGCTATCCCACGAAGCCAGTGCTCAGGCCCTAAGGCTGGTGAATGGAGGGCGCTGACAGCATGTGATGGCTCGTTCATTTATCTCCCGCTGTATTCTCATTTTCTGAGCATGTCTTTCTGTTCTTTGAGGCCTGTCTCAAAGGTGAAGGTCATGGGGAGCTAGGGGAGGATATTGATTTGCACCTGTAAGGCTCCGGGTTAGATCAGCAGACCAGTCCATCCATCTTGCGCTTGTTTTTTTCTCTTTTGGCACAGACTTGCTTTTGTTTTTCACGTGCACGGCTTTCTACAGATTTACTGTTGAACTGCATTTGGTGTTTGGATGTTTGATGGTTTCATGTGTCTGTCTAGTTTTAACACAGAAGTTTCTGTCTTTCTTTGGTTAGAACCAATTTACCCAGACTTCAACAACATAGTACAGAAAACATGTAAACAGCCACAGAAAATAATACACAACTTGTGCTTGTTTGTGGAGTAGAAAAAACTGTTATACTTTTTAAAAAATAAACATTGCTTGATTAATTGTAATAGCAAGAAATATTTTCTTTTTACGCTTTGTTTACTTTGTCCTTTATAGACAATGTTCCCTGAGATTGTCTTTATGTGAGTTAACTGTACAGTCTGTACGGCATGGAAACGTCAATAACAAAAACAAAGACATTAGCACCTAATTAACATCGGTGGCGTGTCTTCTTTGTGGCCGCTCAGACGGGGGTGCCTGTCGGTGAGTTGATGGGCAGATAAAATGAACTATTGATCAGGAACAGTGCAGCACTGGGCCCAGGCAAACTGAGGCCTGTCTGATCAATATTAGAGAAAATCAGTTGCTCGAGATTTCCTACTTGATGACAATTAACGCACAGGACCACCCACACCCTGGGCACATGTCACAACCAATCAGTGCAGAGAGATTCATCTTAGATCAAGGGGAAAACACTGAATAAAAAAAGACTGGGACTGGAGTCATGAGTCTTGGTAACTCTGTCTAATGACCCGAAATGGGACCAAAACACTAATCAGGTTGTTACTGTAAGAAAGCTCGCCAGCTTCTCTTCATTCTACAGGGAATTCACCACAAACTCTAAGAGTTTTGAAAGTTTGCTTGGTTTCACAGAGAAAATTGTGTCTTGTAGTTTCAGCTGTTTTATGTACTTGTCTGGTGCATGCTCGGGTACCGTTGCACATGTATGTGGTTACACAGCAGATGGCAAATAATCTGAATCTGTAGCCATTCCAGTTTAGTGGACAATAAAATACGGGGATTATTTCAAACGAGCCAATCGCAAAAGATAATTCATTCTGTGGGATACGCTTGTGAGATTTTAATATTTGTTAAGACGGAGGTAAAGTTTTGTTTCTTCCCATTTTTGACACAGACGGAATGTGAGATTTAAAACAATGCCACTGGGCCTACTTGTACAGGATCCCATTTTGTAACCGTAACTTTAATAACGGGGGGATAGTGGCGGATCAGAGAGGGGCTGGTGCTCTGTAAATTGGGTGACAGCTGATTGCCAGCCCCCGACTCAGAAATGGACAAAGGGGAAGAAAATGAATGGATGGATGACCAAAATGTATTCTTTATTTTGTATGGGAAAAAACAATGATTGTGGTTTGAGGCTATGCATACTGTGGCTACTACACTGAAAAAAGTGGTGAAAAATAAGTCAAAACATTCTCCAAATTGGCAAAATGTATCTTAAATTGAGCACATTTTGACTGCCATAAAACAAGATTTGCCAATGGCACTGCTTCCTCATTGCGTGCAGTGGATACTTCCAGGCGGTGATTTCAAGAAGCCTGTCAAGCACTACACAAGTGCATGGCATAATTATTCTTGCCTTCATGTTAAGTTTAGTTTTTGGTATGACCTAAAACTATCAGTATTTCACGATGACCTTTAAAATATTATTGGCTGGAGGAATTCCCAAAGCATGAGGAGCAAGTGCGCTTCCAAAAGTACATTATTTAAAACACCCTGCCCTTTTGAGGGTGATAATTCAGAGAAGACATTAAGTAGGTTGAATTTATGCAAAACCTTTAAGTCTGTGAGATCTGCACCTCCTACAACTTTGGAGAAAAGATCTGGAGTGAATTTAATAACCGCCTACATTAACATAATGTGTAGAGTTAACCAAATTGTGTAAAAAAAAATCCCTCTACTGTGTTAAGTGGGTAGTAATATTTGCAGGGTGGATGTTTGAAAATATTGACGCTATACAGTAGATTCTTAGTGACAAAAAAAGCTATGGATACAGTATCTAAGTGAATATAACTCATAGTTCAGATATTAAGAAACATTTGTGACACACCGATCAATGTTATAAATGCTTATGGAGCCTTTCCATGATTGTAGTTGTTAAACTCATTCGTGCTTTGATATCAGCTGTGGGGCCAAGGGGGCAATACAATTTTGTCTCTGACTTACACTGTTCCTCCCATTGGGAGGACAACGAGATACGGCACATATCTCGTTCGAGCAAGTTTAATGTTATTCGAGATTGTGTAGGATATTTTACTCTACTTCTACTTTAGTCCAATACATTTTGGAACTGGATTGAAAAATAAATGTAGCTTTTTTAATTGTGCCTGTTGTATTTGTAGGTTAATATTTAGCATTTTTAAGATTAAGTTTCACTCCCAGCAAACTGAAACATATAAAACCATGGAAACAGCCAATGATTTATGTTTCTGTTGAACAAAAATCAGCGCAATTCCTTATGAAGACAGCATTATTTGACACGTTAATGATTCTTCAAATCTACTTGGTACTCTTTGCATTTATACTATATTTGTGTAAATCTTTATGTTTTCCAGGTCTCACCTTGAACCACAAGTCGTCCCTGAGCCGTACGTCGCACTCTGGTGCCAGGTTTGTTGGCCGCACACACATAGACCCCAGAGTGCTGCACCCCCACATCTGAGATCATCAGGTTTCCCGTGCCCAGTACCTGGATCCCCTCCACTCCGATGGGACGCCCATCTGATCAAAACACACAGATGAATTAAAAACAATTATAACAATTCCATACAATAATAACAATAACCATAGACCGTAGAAGTGACGTCACCCATAGCATTTGGATTTTCTCAGAACTAACTCAAACAGGCTTTATCGTCCGGGATCTGGAGTCACATTATCAGTTAGCAACTATCAAGCAACAAAAGTGACGCTGGTCTGTTCCCTCTAGTGATATCTGCTCGCCAAATCACAAATTTGGGGATAGAAGGCACTTGATTGGTCAGTTATAAGGGGTCATATCTCCAATCAAATCAAAATCTATATATATTTTTTTTTTAACGACCAAACCACAACAGTAGTCTTCTCAAAGTTTTACATAAAAAAATAGTTTGACAAAATAGGACTTGATCAGCTTTGAATAAAAACTTGTACTGCATCAATAGAATATCTGAATAAAAAAATACAATAATGGTGAATCTGTACTAAATTAAGTGACTGCTTGTTGCAAAATAAATGACAACGTGCTTATACATGTGAATGTATTTACTCTTTAGGCAAAGTCAATGATTCTTGACCAGTTACACAACATACTAGGGTAAAAACACTGCTGCTTTTCTTTTAAGATTGCTGGTGCAAAACTGATCAAAAAACTGACACCAAAAACAAACAGTGTGTGAAGGTAGATTGCTTTTATCCAGTTTCTGTACACAGGAGATTCTTGAGCATTCACTGGAGACCTCAAACTATAACCGCTACTCCTAATCTCTTATCTCCTCACACAATCCTGGCTGCGTCTGTACTTACATGATAAACTCACACTTTCCTCTGCCTCCTATCTGCCATCGCACAACCAACAATGACTTCGGTCTGCTTTTGATATTAGCTGTGGGGCCGAGGGGGCAATTTAATCCCATCTCCGACTTCCATGTGCCTCTGTGAGCTGTGGGCTGTCGATTGGGCATATGAGGAGGGGCAGTTTTCTGGACATGCACTGGGACGGGTTTTATGTCCTTCAATTTGATTCACGATAACATGGCTTTATGTATGTCCTGCGCTGGCGTGCAAAGATGGCTGTAACATTACGTACGGGTTGCGATATTGGTGCTGTATGGAAAGAGGACAAAACAAAGACAGCACTTCTACACACACATGCATAGTATCTATCCAAGAATATAGGACAGGCTTTGCTGTGAGAATCAATGATGCATATGTCTCAATATAATATACTGCATATTTAGTATTAGAGGTCTCAATATTGATCTCACAACCCCAAGGTCCTACTGTATTGCTCTGTGCCCCCATTTACAATACAGATTCAGAAAAAGGAAAAATCTGTGAGATAATTGAGTTAACACAGCGGTGTTCAGAAGAGCGTAAGGAGAGCAATGGTGTCTAGGGAAAACAAATAACAGGTAAGTACCATTAGAGAAAAAAATATTTGAAAGGCTTACAATTTGCCCTTTACCATGTAGCTTTCTAAAAAGTCTGATCTATTTTAGTGTGAAAATGTCGCTCCCAATTTTTATCAAATGTACTGCTGATAATAAAACATGTCGAAGATTGCTGCTTGAGGAATACAACTTCTTGAGCAAATGTTGAAATGGAAATGTGTTGTTTTGCTAATAAACTTTTCAAATAGAACACGATCAAGTGCTTCGAAAAGGCTATGTGTATGTCTTCTTCTAATATGGGCATTAGCATTTTATCTTGGTTTTGATAAAATACATTTCCAAACAGAAAATGAAATCTTATCAGTGTTTTTTGGGTTTGCAAAGTGGCCGTTAAATCATTAAGACATAATCAATAGAGGTAAATGAACATCAGCTCGTTCTGCGAAGCTGAGAGCTTTCGCTTCATGTAGAAAATATTGCTGTTTGGTTGGACAGCTTGTAATCTGCCATGATGGATAGTGAAGTCACACATATTCATAATTAATCTTGACAAATTATTGAGATGAAATAAATCACATCTTGTTGGCTGCACACTGTCTTTCATTGTCTGTCATGCTTGTGTGTTATTGAAATGTATGCATTTTCCATTATCTCTGACACGAAGTCGACGAAGACATGGGAGGCGGTAGAAGAGGGAAGTCTTTGTTAGAACAAAAGTGAGCTTGTTCTTTTCTTGCCTTTAAAAGAACATTTTCCCATTCTTCTTTAAGCCTTTTTCTATCCGTTTCTCAGAGTCGGGCCTTGCTAATTAACTTAGTGTCAGTAAAGAGGGTGCACAAGAAAGCAGACTGCTGTGCTACTCAATGAAAAGCAGCAAACAAACTGTGGCGTTAAAAAGTGACTGATGTGAAACTATCAGATTCATTATGCAGCTTATCCCAGCCTCCCTGCCGTAATCTAATTCATACAAATCCCATCGTGTTAGCTTTTCATTCTAGCAACATTGTGTAAGGCAATACCCCCCAATCTGATTATGTTTTACTGTGTGGGGGAGGGGCTGCTCCAATTTGCATTTGGAGCAGCAAATAAGATTGGATAATAGGTAAAGAAAATAGATAGCAGATTGAAAAATTGGTCACGACAGACTATGAGTGATAGTCAAGGGACGGAATGCAGGAAACTCATTGTATCTGTCTCTGAACACTGTGGCTATTACTCAGCAGTCACTTTAACTACACGGCCAGATGAAGCATGAATTTATCAACGCATTGACAAACAGTGCAGAGCCCCAAGGCGCAATGTTGGATTCAATGTATACACATTGGAAGTTTGATCATGGGAGGATTTTGGGAACAGTGACGAGAGTGGTGTTGCTTAGAGGCTGCGGTGGCATGTGTAACTGTGTGTGTCCAAAAACCTCATTAATCAAATGAACTAAATGTAAAATTCACTCGTGCAGTGACATAAATGTAGTATAGTTTTATTCAGATCAACCCTTGGCAATAGTTCAAACATATTTGCATTATGAAAAGCTTTTTCCCATTAGGCTGCCTACCTCAGAAGAAATATGACAAACCTTCAATTACATCCAATCATAGCGTATTCTTTTGGCATATGTTCAGTATAATGCTTATAATGCTAATAGTTGAGCGGTAAATGCCTCCATTGTATCTTCTCGCAAGGAAATGAGTATTTTATGCATTAAACTGGTTGTTTATACAGACCTTTCTATATACTTAAAATAAAAAACCAAGATATAATGTAATGATGAGTGCCTTCATCGTCTGGGTACTTTCAGTACGATGCCATTTAAACCATTAAACACTTTTTTTTCATTGTCACTTAAATGAAGCGTACTATAAAGCTAACACTATCCCTTAATGACATGAACTGTGTTTTGCCCCAGGACGTGTAGTGGTGCATTGTGGTCCTTCTCTGAAATGTGTTGTGCACGGAACAATGCTGATGAAAACTATGTTCATAAAAACATAGACATACAATGAATGTTATTATTGTAAGGTCTAACCAGCCTATTCAACTTGCGGCCTAGGGGCCAATTCAGACCTCCTGAACGATCTAATCTTGCCTTCAGCTCATGTTCACTGCAAAATGATCTTGTATAAAGAAGTAAAGGCTTGCATCAAGTCTGGATGGAAAAAAGAATAATCCCCAATGGGACATGCAAAACTACATTATTTCAGGGGCTGGAGGCACCAATGAAAATGTAAAAAAAACTGTTAATTTTTGCTTGTTCCATTTGCAAACCTGATTTTAAGATGCAGACACAAACAACTAAAATCTGGATACATTTACAGTAACCAAAATTCAATTGATTATTTTAAGATATGTTGGTGTTAAAAGTTGAAAATACGAATTGTGTCTGGTCTAAGTCGTACCTTGTACCTATGGTGCGACTGAACACGGAATTGCTTAGATTTGTTTCTTTTAAAGCTGTAACTTTTTGTGTTATATATAAATCAGTTCCTAACAGAAAGGGTTTAAATTGCAGTATTGCAATGTTAGAAAACTTACTATTGAGAGCTGATTGACTGAATGAGGGATGGTACTACCTATCAATCTGTGATCTACTGTAGAATACACACTTCTTTTATCATTATGTTTTTGCTTTGTTTGATATGTGGCCTCTCCACATGTCGTACAGTAACTTGTAAAAAATGTGCCTGTCTCTAACGTAAAAAAGAAAAGTTTAAATGACAAACTTCCTAACAACATGACAGTTGAGGAATGCACCCTAATTGCTTCTAATGTAATAAGAAAATTATGATCCACTATCATCGATTATCACAATAGCAGTATCGTGTTTGTTTAAAAGAAATCCCTCTCATCTCTCCTCATGAACCCAACAGCCTCTCAGATCATATTCTGTCTGAAGTGTACGGATCATACCTAGTCTGCTCCAGGACACGATTGGCCGAGGGTATCCCGTGGCGATGCACTCCAAGATGGCCGTCTGGTGCACGGTAAGGGTGAGGTTCTCCGGACCGACCAGGATCATGGGCTCTTTGTAAACAGCGGACTGCGAGGCTGCACACAGGAGAGGCAGCGGACAGTAGCGGTGAGTTTGGTGCAGGCTACGGTTTAATTGGATTTCTCCACAGAGCATTAACTCAGTGTAGTGTATCTCAGCCATCAGAGACAGGCCGACAATGAAACACTGAAAAAATGCTGTAGCAGACTGAGCAAAAGAATGCTAGGCCATTCTTTTTTGAAAATAGAAGCTTTTCAAGGCTAAGTCACACAAGCTATTAACTGTAAATTAAATGTTACAGTCTTTCACTGCACTATCAGAAACAAACATATACACGCATGCATGTGTACCCACTCCGACACACACACACAACACACTGCGCACAACACACTACACGCACACACACACACTACACGCACACACACACACAACACACACCTAATTGAAAAACGATATGAAAATGTAATTGGGGTAAGCTCACACAAGTATTTTACTTCGGCTTACTCCCTTTGAGCTGTGTCTACTTTTTCTTGAAATGTTTTCCTATTGGATTGTTTTTTGTTTTGTATGACCTGCTCAAATAAATTGATTGATTGATTGATTGATTGATGTTATGTATGTATTCATTATGTGCATTTATTTTACCTGAAATAGTGAGGAGTGCTTCAGTGCTGTGTTTGACTCCAGCACTGTTGTGGGCCACGCAGCAGAAGCTCCCTCTGTCTTCCTCTCTCACCCCAGTGATCTGGAGAACGCCGGTGGGCAGCAGCGTGTATCTGCACAAAACATTCAAGAAAATAGTCTATATCCAAAAACAAAAAATAAACGACACAGAATATGTATTTTTTGAAATGTCAACCATAATTGGACTCTTTATACAGACTTTAATCTCGGTTGATGTTGAGATGGGATCAAAGAAGGCCTAGAAGGAATAGGCCACCGTTTTTACATACTGACACATGTTCTTACCTTAGACTAGTTGATATGTACCTGTCTGGTCTTTGTCCGTGCGCTCTGTCATGCAAACGGAGCACAAACGCAGCCTCTTCCACATACTGTATAGTTCCAAATCATCTCCCGTTAGAAGCTACCAAACTCTTTCACGTGTTCCCTATTTAAATACAGTTACGTGACGTGTCCGCGCACTAACTCCTAAAGACTTCTCACCCGCTCACTTCCGTCAATAGAAGCAGCGTGAGTGGTAGAGAAGTCTTTAGGAGTTAGTGGGCGGACATAGTGCTCCTCGTATTACTACGCCTCACAATATAGTACCCCTTTTTATCCGCTGAGAAAATCGACATGTTACATTTCTGTGTTACTGTATTTACTTTATTTAAATAGGGAACACGTGGAAGAGTTTGTTAGCTTCTGACTGGAGCTGATTTGGAACTATACAGTATGTGGAAGAGGCTGCGTTTGTGCTCCGTTTGCATGACAGAGCGCACGGACAAAGACCAGACAGGTACACATCAACTAGTCTAAGGTAAGAACATGTGTCAGTATGTAAAAACGGTGGCCTATTCCTTTAATCGCATACATCAACATAATCAAAAATGTTTACAAATGTTTTGTTTTTACGTGACGTGACGTGACTTCCTGTATCCGGTGAGCGTGTTTCTTGACTGCTATCACTCTGCTCTCTGTTTGCACTAACAAACACATTACAAATCCACGTATTGTACACCAAGCTAACTGTGTAAGCACTCCGAGTCAGCTGTACTGTAGCTGAGGTTTAGGTAGCGGTTGTTTGTCTGGTCTCGGAGTCTGTTGTGCGGGCCCGGATCCGTACTAGCTTAGCCTTGCCTAGCTTAGCCTAGCCTAGCCGCTAACTCGCTACTATGGCGGCTGCTGTCTCTCCCTCAATCCTTTACTGCTCGAGTTGCCATATGGCGAGTCTAAACCCTGGATCCTTCTCTGAGGGTAGTGATAGATGTGTGAAGTGTAGTGTAGTCGTAGCTCTGGAATCCAGGGTCAGTGAGTTAGAGCTGCGTCTCCGAGCACTGGAGTCTCGAGCTAGCGCTAGCATTAGCTACAGCCAGGCCGTATCCTCAGGGACAGCGGAGCGCAGCTTTAGGGAAAGGCAGAGGAGAACTAGCGAGCCTAGCCTCCCAGCCCGTCCTCCGCAGCTGGGACAAGACCAGGATAGTGATGGCTTTGTGACTGTTCGGAGAGGGCGACGTGTTGTTGGTAGTTTCCCCATTGGGCCTCCTCCTGTTAGCATTTACAATCGCTGGGACGCTCTGTCCGGCTGCGCCCCCGCGCGGGCGGGCGGGGAAGAAGGCCCCACTGAGAGAGCCGCTGAGAGAGCTGCTGAGAGAGCCGATGGAGTCGCTGATGCGCTGGTAATTGGCTCCTCTATTGTTAGAGGTGTTAAGATCCCAGGAGCCACTGTTCGGTGCTTCCCTGGGGCCAGGCTTGGTGATATTGAAGGGAATCTGAGGCTCATGATGACCCACAAGCAGCGTTTCCGTCGAATTGTTATTCACGCGGGTGGTAATGACGTTCGGCGGAAACAGTCCGAGGTGTTGAAGCTGCAAGTCGCCGCCGTGTGCAAGCTGGCTAGCACAATGGCCGACACTGTCATCTTCTCTGGGCCCCTACCTAGCACTAGCAGTGCAGAAGCATTCAGCAGACACTCGGCTTTCAACCGCTGGCTGTCTGGCTGGTGCCCTCGAAGTGGTGTTGTTCATGTTGACAATTGGAGTGCCTTTTGGGGAAAGCCCGGTCTCATCCGCTCGGATGATATCCACCCAACGTTGGCGGGTACATCCCTTTTGGCTAAGAATTTGGCCCTGGCTCTAAACTGTTCTGCTCGGCTCAAATGACGATGCAGAACTGAGGCCCGGGTGCAGAGCTGCTCTGCCACAACCTCTGAGCCCCCATCTGTTCAGTTACTAGCCTCAGAACCTAGTCAGATTGAAACTGTGTGTGTTCCCCGCTTGAAGTCTAAAGCACTATATGCGAGGAAATCTGACCTAGGTGTCAGACACAGTAACTTAATAAAAGTTCAGACAGACAGAAATAGTTCTAGCGGTAGGGTTGTTAAATGTGGTTTAATGAACGTCAGATCAATCTCGTCTAAATCGCTTTTCATAAACGAACTTATTATAGACAAGGGCTTGGATCTGTTTGCGCTCTCGGAGACTTGGCTCCAACAGGACGAGTACGTTAGATTGAATGAGTGCACTCCTCCGACGCATGTTAACTACCAGAAAGCCAGAGCTACAGGTCGCGGCGGTGGTGTTGCGATTATATCACACACCAACTTGGTTCTTAGTCCCAAAACCAACAACGCTTTTCACTCGTTTGAAAACTTAACACTTTCAATCACCTGTCCTGGGTGGAGAAAACAAAAAGCAGTACTATTTATAGTTTTATACCGACCTCCTGGTCCTTACAGCGAGTTCCTAACAGAATTCTCTGACTTCATTTCAAACCTAGTTTTGGAATGGGAAAACATAGTCATAGCTGGAGACTTCAATATACATGTGGACGACAGCACTGACGGCTTAAACAAAGCTTTCAGCGCCGTACTAGATGGTGTTGGTTTTACTCAGAATGTCGAGGAACCTACTCACATTCATAACCACACCTTGGACCTTGTCCTGACCTACGGCTGTGATGTCTCCAATGTTGACATCCAGCGTCAAAGCTCGTTGCTGTCTGACCATTTCTTGATCACGTTTGATCTCGCTTTGGAGGACTTTCCTGTCCCGCAAGATAAAACCATAATGAAAAGAACCTTAAATGATAAATCGATCACAAGGTTCAAAGAACTAATACAGCCTATGTTGAATACTGCTGCAGGTGAACCTGTTCACAGCAGCTGCAGTCCCTCAGTCATTGACCAAACGGTGGGCAACACTATGGAGTCTTTAAAATCTGCATTAAATGCAGCAGCTCCTTTAAAACAGAAAACCATTAGGATTAGATCATCGTCGCCCTGGTGCAGTGTTCAACTCCACACTTTAAAACAGGACGTCAGAAAATTGGAGAGGCTATATTGCCACTCCCACTCGGAGCCTGTCCACAGGGAGTGGAAAGCAGGTCTCCGAAACTACAAGAATGCCCTTCGCAGGGCTCGAACTCAATACTATTCAACTTTAATAGAAGCGAATAAAAACATCCATCCATCCATCCATCCATTTTCTACCCTTTAATCCATTTCTGGGTCAGGGGGGTGGCAGTCAGAGATGCCACCCAAGTCTCATAGCACCAGCCCCTCACTGACCCTCTGCAGGTGGTGAGTCCACAGGAGGACGGCTGCTCTCTGAGTGTGAGCATAGCCTTGATCTTTCAGTGGGGGCTTTGGGCAAAGTGGGGTTAAGTGTCTTGCCCAAGGACACAACGACAGCAGTCATCAGTGGGAGTCGGTGGAGAAGGTGTAGAGGTGGGAATTGAACCCACAACCTTCAGGCCCGAAGGCCAATGCTCTACCAACTGAGCTACTGTCGCCCCGACAGTAGCTCAGCTTTTTATTCGCACAGCGAATAAAAACAACAGTAGATTTTTGTTTGGCACCGTCGCTAAACTCACAAACTGCCATAGCGCAATCGAGCCTAAAATTCCAAGCTCACTGAGCAGTGTCGACTTTCTCCACTTCTTTAATAATAAAATTACATCCATCCGTGACAAGCTGGAGGAGGTTGCTCCTGCTGTTAGTGGTGGACAGGTTGAAGCGGCATACGTGACTTCCCACTTAGACTCTTCAGTGGGCCTTGATAAATTCATGGCTGTGAGCCAAGCAGAGGTGATCTCTGTGGTCACATCCTCAAAAGCCTCAACTTGCATGTTAGACGCAGTCCCGACATGGCTCTTCAAAGACATACTTCCTTTGATAATTGAGCCTATCGTAAATATAATAAACGCATCCATACAATGTGGCTATGTCCCACAAGCTTTTAAAACCGCGGTAATCAAACCCCTTCTGAAGAAAACAAACCTGGACCCAGAAATACTTACAAACTACAGACCGATCTCAAACCTCACTTTTATATCTAAAATCCTGGAAAAACTTATAGCTGAGCAGCTCCGCTGCCACCTGCAGGAAAATGATATGTTTGAAGTCTTTCAATCAGGATTCAGAGCTCATCATAGCACTGAAACGGCACTAGTCAAAGTCACAAATGACTTACTACTAGCTGCCGATAATGGACAAGTGTCAGTGCTGGTCCTACTGGACCTTAGTGCTGCATTTGACACAATAGACCACAGCATTCTACTGCAGAGGCTAGAATGTGATATAGGTCTTAGAGGAACAGCCCTTGGCTGGTTTAAATCCTATTTATCAGATCGATATCACTTCGTCAATGTGAATCAGGACTCGTCGCCTTATTCTGGAGTGGAATTCGGTGTGCCGCAGGGTTCGGTACTCGGACCGATTCTTTTTACTCTCTACATGCTGCCACTGGGAAACATTATTAAAAAGCATGGAATTAATTTCCACTGCTATGCAGATGACACACAGCTTTATCTGTCGATGAAGCCTAACCAGACAGATCAGCTAGAAAAGCTCAGTGCCTGCATAAAGGACCTTAAAATGTGGATGACTCTTAACTTCCTACTTCTCAACCCGGAGAAGACAGAAGTGATCCTACTCGGTCCGAAGCGCCTGCGTGACTCCCTCACTAACCAGATGGTTACTCTCGATAATGTCAGTATAATACCCAGTAACACTGTGAGGAATCTTGGAGTCATTTTTGACCAAGAACTCTCCTTCAAGGCTTATATAAGCCAAGCAACTAAAACGGCGTACTTCCACTTACGGAACATCGCTAAAATTAGGAATTTCCTTCCTAAAAGTGACGCGGAAAAACTCATTCACGCGTTTGTCACCTCAAGGCTCGACTACTGTAACGCTTTACTGGCAGCGTGCCCTAAAGCCTCTTTGAAGAGCTTCCAGCTCGTTCAGAATACAGCAGCTAGGATCTTAACAGGTACCAAAAGGAGGGAGCACATAACTCCGGTGTTAAAATCACTCCACTGGCTCCCTGTGGAGTACAGAATAAAGTTTAAAATCCTACTCTTAACATATAAAGCCATAAATGGCTTGGCTCCCTCTTATCTCCAAGACACGTTAGTGTCGTATCAACCAGGTCGAGCGTTGCGCTCACAAAACGCCAGACGTCTGGTGGTCCCTAAGGTCTCAAAGGTCACTGTTGGTGGCAGAGCATTTAGCTACCAAGCTCCTTTACTGTGGAATCAGCTTCCCATTTATGTTAAGGAAGCAGATACGGTCTCCACATTCAAGGCCAGGCTTAAAGCACTTTACTTTAATTTAGCATATAATTAGGTAATATATAATATGTAGTGTATATATTATATATATATGCTGTATTATGTTATATATTATGTTATATATTATTCAATAATGTATTGTGTTATGTTGTATATTATGTTATATATTATGCTGTATGTTATTCTTTATTCAAGGCTAGGTTTAAAACAGTCCTCTTTAGTTTAGCATATGGCTAGGAAGGTAAGACTCGGAGAAGGTTAAACTCCTCAGAGTGTCAGTCAAGCTGCATAGGGAGTCAGTTTGCTGGGAGAAGTATGGTAACTTGAGCACTATCCTCTCCTCCTTCCTACTTTATCTGTTTAGCATTTTTAGGATTCTGACTGTAGTTTGTTCATTGCTATTCACCCGTTGTCCCATTGTCTGTTTCATGGTACGATGACGGGATCTCTGAGCCTGGCCTCTTCCATCTACACCTGCGGACTGCCCCGCCCGACCCGCCTGGGAGTGCTTCGGTCCTGCACCGGACCTGTCCACGTTCAGCGTCCACTGGTCCACGTTCTGTAGCTAGCTTAGGTCCTAGATCATTAGCCTGTCCGTCCGGAGGAGCGGATCCCTTTCTCATATGGGTCTCCCTCCCTGTGGGTTTCCCTAGTTCTCCCCAAGGTTTCTCACTTTTTCCCACTGGGTTTTTTAAGAGTTTTTCCTTGTCGATGCAGGAGGGTCTTGTTGGACAGTTAGTGTCCAACAGAAAGGATTGGTGATGATCAGGACACTTTAGCATTCTACAACATGTATGGACATTTTCTTCTGTGTGTGCTTTATATTCTTCATGTGTTTTAACTGTTGATTCTCTGACCTGTGTTGGTGATTTCAATGGTTTTGTTAAGTCCTCTGAGATGACTTCTGTTGTGACCTAGGGCTATACAAGAATAAATTGTATTGTATTGTATTGTATTGTATTTTAAATGATAAAACTGAATCTTAAAAAATTCTATTAGAACGTTCTCCTGTGGCATCACTTCAGCTTGTTCAGAGTCCAACTTAAAAAGTCATATCCGCACTCTAAACAACTAATGGATTCGAAAGAACAGTTGCTAGATCAAACAGTTATCAAAATAGTCATAGCCCTAGAAATAATGTGATGAAAATAATTGCAGTTTTCAGTCTTTGCGAAAGGCTAATTTGCAAAGACTGAGACAGACTTCCACTCTGACTAAGTTCAAATCCAGGTTAAAAACTGTTTGGCTGTGCATGCAGCTGAAGGATTGTATCTTCTCTTTTAATGCACTGTGAAAATGTATGAGTTAAAGTTTTGTTCAGCACTTTTCCCTGTGTAAGAACTGTGCTATACAAATAAACTTGCCTTGCCTAAAAGCAGCCTCAAAAGCTATAATTTCTAATTGATTGCAAATGATCACGCAGCTGAACAATATTTCCTTTTAAGTCCATCTCTTCCATATCGAGACGCTTGAATTTTGATTGTTGGACCCACCTCTTGTCGCCAGTGTCCACAGGTTGCCTGTCTTTCTCCCAGCTGATGACGGGCTCGGGCAGCCCATGGATCTGGCACTGAAACCGGGCCACTCCTGCCTCTTCCGCCTGCACGGACTCCGGCTGCACATGGAAGTCTGCCATCGCTGCAGGAGAGAGCAGAGAGGTTGTTTTTAGGTCAAAATATTCCAATACATCTGCACATGCCTGCTGAGTTCAGAGATGCTCATACACAACAAGCTAAAAGATATATGTCTCAAACCGAGTTCTTAAAGAAAGCTCCTAACAAGTTTATTTTGCCCTCAAACATATATTAATTTAGTCAGCAGGGGTCTAGTAAAATTGCTTTGCGTGGACACAGTTTGACGCGTGCATGGTTGCATTTATTACCATATATTACACAAGGCAGTGGAGATAAAGGATGATGATTCCCAGCATGTGAATACTGACTGGATAAAATGAGGTTGGTTTAAAAATTGCTGTATAGCCGGCACACGCAGGGCTCTGGTAATGGTTCTTGAAATAAAGTGTGACTCTCATCTCTGATAGTGCACGCTTCTCTCTTAACTCGCCACAACACTCACAGACAAATGAGTTTACACAGAGCGCAGCCAATGAGAACATACTGCAGCCAGAAGAAAGTAATTGCTTGTAAAAAATATTTTACATTTATAGCGTGCGAATAAAACTTTCTCAAAATAACCTCCTGATAGCTTCGTCTAATCTTAGAAGGAAATCCAATCTACCCAGATGGAGAGGGACTACATTAGCAGTTCTGTTTGTGGGCTTGTTTTTCTCTGAGAGAATACAATATCGGGTTTAACTATCTTAACAGGAAAGTGCATCTGTTGTGGCAGGAATTGATGCTCTCAAACAATGCATATAAATGTGACAGAGATTGGGATCAAAACATGAGAACGTGAGACTGCGAGAGACCAGCTCATCTCACGCCTGTTTTCATTTATCTTTTACACAGGAGGAGATCAAGAGAGTTCCAGACTATATTTTTCATAGGTGCCCTTTTAACAAAAGAAATCGTGTTGGGGTGACACGATGGCTGAGTAGTTAGCACTCTCGCTTCTCAGCAAGAAAGTCCACAATTTGAATCCCGGTAGGAGTTTCAACATGTACAATATTTCAGGATGAACGAGTGTGTGTTTGTGAGTGTGACTGTGAGATGGCAGATGAAAATTAGCCCAAGGCTACAATTCGGAGAGATGTGTTCATTAACATGTACTGTCCCAACCAAATAAACAATAAACTAAACACTAACAAATGAGACTAAACTGTTGGAAACTGGTACAGTTATGTTCATTTAACTGTAAAACAAAATTTGTAAAATGTGAAAGTATCAAAATAATGAAATTGTTGGGATGCAAAATGCTTTTTTATTTCAGTCTGTATTTTCAAACAGTAAATGTTCCCATGATATTGTGTTTATAAATACATCTTAAGCCTAGCGTACATCGACAGAGAAACTGGGGACAACTAGTTGCAAGGCGGCTTTTGGCAACTGAGAGGAGATGGTGGGAGATGATCAGTTGCCGAAATCGGTCGATGTGCGCGCTCTTACAACTGGAGATGATCAGTCGGTCTCCAGTTCCAGTCAGTTGCCCGTGTTCTACTTTTCGGCAACTAGTTGTCCTCAGTTGCCCCGATGTGCGCGCTCCATGCGCCGCTCCAACAACGTGTGTGTATTGCGTGTATTGCGAGCCCGCAACAGTTTGTTGTCAGAAAACACACTGTAGTTGAGGCCAGTTGCTGTCGATGTACGCGCTGTTATTCAAGAGACTGGCCTGCGACTCAGAGTTGCCCGTTTTCGCCAGATTGTCGATGTGTGCGGGGCAGCAACTCAGAGGCGACGGATATAATCAGTTGCCAGTCCGATGTACGCTAGGCTTTAGGGGTGGGCGATATGGCCTAAAATTCATATTGCGGTATAATTTGGGACACAGACGGTAGACGGTATATATTGCGGTATAATTTGGTGTGAATTTCAATATAGGTCTAGCAGGTTCTTGCATAAAATAGTCAAGATTGTTACTTATTTATATATTAGAATCTAATATATATATTTTTTTAGTTATTCAGTGAGACGAATAAAGAGACAAATGTTGTAACATACATTATTTATGTAAGTTACAGTAAATACCGTTCACTGTAAAAGCAATTTTTAAAAAGAAAAACATATGCATTCATTTAAAATATAAAAAACTCATGTTGAAATCAAAGTCTGTAGGAGTTAGACATGGTCATTATTTATAGTGTCTGAGAGTTTTGTGCAGGTACATGACTTCAGTAAAAGCTATTGTTCGTTTACAAAGCTGGTCATGACATTTGTTGACGCTCCCTAAGCGCTTTTCTCTGCGCTTGCAGTGAACTGGATGATTCAATGGATTTATGTTCATTAAAACAGCGCATTGGATTTGAACAATTGATGTAAATGATCATTTTGGCACAATAAATTTTGTTTAACAAAGTAGCTTTCGTGAGATATTGACCGCAGAGGTCCGAATCTGACGCTAACTTTCGCAAACTTCTGCTGTGATGCTGCGGACACGGCTCACGCATGGATCTATTTTGGCTCACGCTGGCGCTTCGAGCCTACGCCCCTTTGACACTGATTGGCCAAAAGGTAGACGCTTAAACTGTGATTACTGTGTGTGTATTTACCTCTGCTGGGGCCGCTGTGACAACAATACATAGACAGAAACACGGTGTTAATGCCGTGCTGTTGTTCGTTGTTTCCAGTGGTGTCCAATAGTGCTAGGCTAATGTGCTAGGCTAATAGTGCTAGGCTAATGTGCTAGGCTAATGCTGCTGAATGCCGGTTTGTTTTGGTCCTTTCTGCTGGCGTCAGAGCCTGCGCAATTTGATGACATAATGACCTATCGCAATATGCCGGTATAACAAAAATCTCTACCGTGGGCCAAATTTATATCGCATACCGCTTATACCGTTTATATCGCCCAGCCCTAATACATCTAATACATTTTCATCACGTGTACCGTGATGATTATTTAAACCACCTTCAACTAACCCAAACCCGTTATACTCAAGCCCCTGCGATCCAAGATGGCGCCCTATTCAAAAGAATGGTTGTGCTCAGTGGTGCTTTGTGACGGCATGGGGGCTGAAAGATTAGCGGAAGTCGCCTGGAACTCGCAAAGATCTGGTTCTGCGCAGTGGATGATCTCCCATAATGCGTTGCGCCAAACACGCGTGTGTGGGTCTCACACCGGGTCTCACGCACGTGCACAGAGGGGCTCGGCTGCGCTCTGACCAATCAGAGCAGTTCATCAGAGCGGGAGTTAGAGCGAGAGCCAGACGAGCAGAGTTTGTGGCACTAAAGTGTGGATTTAAACAAAACCGAAGGATTTAAGAAGAAAAAAAGTTCAGGATGACAAGGGACACTAAAATCCCCACAAAATCCGACCTTTATTAAAGCTGTAGGTTCTCTGTCAGCTGAGGTCGAGCTGTTTTAATATGCATTGAGTTCTATGGGGAAAATTTCTGGGTAGCCCACGTGAATTTAGTCTGGTTCAGTCTGCAGTACCGCGAGAATCCCCTGAGCACATGAGTTATTCAGCTACAAGCTAGTAATACCCTATCCAGTTAATATAATAGATCCATGGTTATACTACTATTCTTACAGTTACCTCTTTAGCTTCCTTGCTCTTATAGTTCATCTTCTTTCTTAAAGACCTTATGACGGGTTTTTTTTTTAAAAATAGTGGATATCAAAATAGCATGACAATGTCAATTTGAAAGAGATTCCGGCAAAAAAAATCCTATATTTTATAAAAAGAACGTGTTTTTCATGAATTTAAGTTGTCTATGCTCTAACCTGTGTGTGACGTCATAGCGGGTTACGCCCATGCATTGAAAACCATGGATCTATGCCACAGGACTGCCTTTTCTCTCTTCTCTCCACTGATGCCCAACACAATACTGCCCTCTACAGGTGACAATTGCTCACTACACATAAATTGCCGTTTTGAGTGTGAAAAAGTGTCCGAGGTGGGAATTGAACCCAGGTATCTGGATTGGCAGTCCATCAACACAACCACTGGACTATCTCAGTGGCAACAAAATGTTACATTCTAGTAGTTATGTTAGACTCGCTGTACACGGCCTTGTCATCTTGAATATCCGCGAAAAAAGAACGAATACCAAATTGTAAGCAACTTACAGCATTGAAACGTACCCGTTCTGACGTCACCAAGGGCTGTGAAGTTTTTTCGTTTCTAAGGGCGTTGCTATGGGGTTATTTCAATTTGGGGGGATCAGACAAAAAAAACAACAACTGATTTTGAAACCTTTAGTAGTTCTCTTCTAATATAAAATGGTATTAAAACTGTATTTCTAAATAAATCAAACCCGTCATAAGGTCTTTAAGATCGCTCAACTGATACACTGACACTTAAAATGATGCAAAAAAAGTGATGCAGACAAGATAGAATAAAATTTTGAGTTGCTAATTACCAAGATACAATACAGTACAGCTAATAGATTATAACTACAACAGACAATATACAAAATAGTCTTCTATTACAAAGAACACTATTGTCGTCATTGATATTGGAAATAAAATGTCCATTCGTATGAGAAAGGAGAATGTATGCAGCATCTTGGTCCTTGGTCCAGCCTGAAGGACAAATTCAATGCAACAAGCTGTGTGTACAATGATTCTTTGGACTTAAATGAAGGCTTGTGAATAGCAACGGTTCTCTGACCTCGAACACAATGACATCAGAAATGATGACCGGTATGTCCAACACAATTATAAGGCGGCACTAAAGGTGAAAAGCTGCAACATACAGTTTGAAACCTCGCCCAATCATGTACTTTTCTAATTCACGATACTTCAAATTACAATTTGATGCAGCTCTATTATTCCCCACATTCAGTACATTACAGAAGCTCACTAACAATGAAGCAACATAGAGATGTGATACCAGACCATCTCACACTGCAAGAGCTTTTTGAAATGCTAACTCGCTGTCCACACATATATATACACAGAGCACATGTATATATCCATGTATTTGTATTAGAATAGCAAGCCTCATTCAGCTGCACTTCACATACAGCCGCTGTGCAACAAAGGCGGCATCCGAGGTGGAGTCCACGACAAACTCAATTA